GTCTCCAGAGGCAACAGAAACCGGTCGCCGCTTAGGTGGCAGGTCGCGCAACACCTTGACGCCCTAACCAGCACAATACCAGTCCCTACCCAGGGCCAAACAAGGGCCCCAAGCCCCAGCTGGCCCCAAGGGTGAGGCAAATGCTGAGCAGCAAGAACCTCTACGGGAATGGTTCCCGAACGCCCCAGGAAAGATGGGCAGTACTTACAGGGCGCTTAGGGAAGTCAGCCACAAAGCGCATGCAGCCCCGGCACTGATGAGGTACTCCTGGCCACCGCATAACACAACACACGGCAGTGAACGCGACACAAGGCAAACACCTCCTAGGAAATTGAGGCCAGAGAAGCGTCTATCACGGTTGACATTAGCGTACGAACTGAAGCTTGGCAGCCAGCGCGGTGAGGTCGGGTGCTCCCCCCTCCCCCTCTCGGGGCGGGAAAGGCTGCGCGGACGATCGGCGCGGCAGTAAAGTGTGATGTTTGCTTGTTTCCTTGGGATTGTTGGGAGTTTCTACCTTTCTGTTCGTTTTTTTTTTTAGTTTTTTACCATGTGGGGTTTGTTTTGTTATGCCTACCTTTCTGGGTGCATAACCCCGGTTGATGGCAGATAAGGAAAACCCCAACCACAAGGGGGTTTTCCAGGGCCATTGCTCCCTGAAGGGGCCAGGTTCTGGCGCTGGTCCCTGGTAGGTCTGAACTCCTTAGCTAATGTCCCGGTCTAATATAACATACATTAGCCCGATAAGCTCCAGGGAGCCGTAGGGGCTCCCCATAGAAAAGATTGGTTGACATTAAACAACATTTAATATCACATACTGTGGCCCCTTAATGCTGTGGAATGGTGTTATTGCACACAAAATGCACTCAAAAGGAATTACTGGCAAAGTAGGGAGATGGATCTCCAACTTCTTAACAAACTATAGTTCCACTGGTAGTGGAACCTAGAGTGTTTATTCAATGTGAAAAGTTCAGTCCCCCTGGGTACCGTACTTGCTACAGTACTTTTTCTCATTCTCATATCAGATATAGACAAGTAAACAAACTATAGTACTGTATCATCCTTTGCACATGACACAAAAATTTCCCACGAGAGTAGACAGTATAGAGGACACAACAAACCTCCACTCTGATGTTAATCAAGTCTTTCAATGGGCCACAGAAAATAACATGTTTAATTAAAGTAAAGTTCTAATTACTACACTATGGGAAAAACGAAAACATCTAAGCAGAAACCACCTATAAAATGCAGTCAAATCATAATATTGCAAGAAAAAGCAATGTAAAAATTTTTGGAGTAATCATATCAGAAGATATTACTTTTAACCCTTAAACTGCACATGGCATATATATACGCCATGAGTAACATGTCCCACTGAGCGCATGGCGTATATATAAGCCATATAGTACGATTCAAATGGCCCGTTTGTGCATAACCGCCGGTTTGGTGCCTTCTATTGATAATTACTTACTTACTTGTGCATAACCGCGGCTACGCGGGGTTCACATCAGCTTCCCCAAGGCTCTTGTAAACAGATGCCATGTTTAAAAAAAATCGTGGGCAATATTCTCCGGTGTGAGAGCCACAGTACTGTGAGAGCAACCAAGGCTGGCGCACGTAGCATGAGCTAACAGCATTGATGTTCAGCTTGTGACCACAGCATCGCCTAAAAATGTCAAAATAAATAGGTAATTGCTATTATTTAGCGATGACAGCATTACAGATGAGCCCTGACTGTGATAAAAATGACTAGGATTGTGATAATAGCAGGATTGTTGTGATAATTAGCGCTGTGTGGGAGGAGTAATGCTGAGGGAGGGAGACTACTGTGTGGCCACCTGTTACTGTCTGCATTCACCATACCAGCCCAGTGGCTCTCTATGGTGAACACAAAAGTAGATACTTATTACACTAATACACACATAATATATAACAGCAAAAGGATTATGTTGGGAGGAGCCATTTGGGTGACGGAAGTGGCGTTGTCTGCATGACTTTTTTTTTTTTTTTTTGGAGATATATACAAGAGTTGTTACATTCTTGTACAGCCACTAGTATGCGTAGCGTTTCGGGCAAGTTCTTAATCCTATGGTCCCTGGAATACGATCCCCTGCCGCGAAGAATCGTTTTTTCATCCAAGTACACATTTTACTGTTGCGTTAAACAGAGGCTACAGTTAAGGAATTGCGCCCAGTAAATCCTCCCCGGCCAGGATACGAACCCATGACATAGCGCTCGCGGAACGCCAGGCGAGTGTCTTACCACTACACCACGGAGACTGCTAAACTGCTTTTCTGTGTAGAGGGTGGCCACTATGCTCTTTGGACACCCTACAAGCTTAGGTGTACAGTTACAGTGCATACAACATGTAGATACTTATATATAATGTGTGTATATAGTGTAATAACAACCCAAACGGTATTGTTGGGGGAGAACTTTTAGTGCGCCTGACCTTGAATGAGGGAGGGAGGCAGCTGATTGTGTGTAGCGATGTCTCTTAGTGTCTGACCTAACTATATCAACTTAGTTGTACAGTTGTGGTGAACAAAATATGTAGATACTTTTATATAGTGTGTGTATATAGTGTAATACCTGCAAAACTATTTGTTTATTGTTTTATGAATGTAATAATTGAATCACTAATATGAACACCATACTTTTGAGTATAGCGATGATTCACACGTCTATATAAATAAAAATGTTAATGTTCGTTTGTGCATAACCGCTAATCTCCTAAAGTTATTGCTTTCTATTATAACCGCATATTATACTTTTATAATAACCAATTGCTTTGAAATTTTCACACAATGTTGTATTCGAATAGGCGCATCTTTTTATATGCCTATATAGATGCCACCCCGTGACAGGCAAAAACATGCATTTTTGAAAAACACTGCTATCTGTTGCACATAATAGCAATACTAAATGTGTCACACATTCCATTTCATTGTTTCTGGTTACATTGATAAATTTTATTTTCATATTGATTTATTTTATTTTTTATTGAATTATTTTGTGACATTATGTTGGAATTGAGCTGTGTTGTTTACCATACCGTTCATTTCGTAAGTATAAGTATAGATGCCACACCTGTGACAGGTAAAACTATGCTTTTCTTGAAAAACATCGCCATCTGTTGCATGTAAGAGCAAAACACATGCTATACTAAATATGATACAATTCCATTTCAATGTTTCTGATTGCATTGATAAATTGAATTTTCATAGATTTTGATTTATTTTCATTTTGATTTAATTATTTTGTGTGAATTGCATTGGAATGAGCCGTGTTGTTTACCATACCGTTCGTTTCGTGAGTATAGTTTATTTTTTATTTTTTTTCATATTTTCATTTCCCTTTTTAACTGTTTTTCTTATATTTCAGTGATGGGAACATCAGATCACTTGATGTTTCCAATTTTCTAACGGGAACACCAGACCATTTGGGAAGGTATCGGACAAGGGAGTGGGGAATGGTTGGGAGGCCGAGGAGACGGGTGATGGGGGGGGAATGGTGGGGAGGACTGGGGGGACAGGGAAGGTTGCTGTGGCCGTGTACTGCTAGTTTTATTATATAAATCTATCACACTACACACTATTGAATAATATTACTGCAAAAAACTAAGAAAAAATCAGAAACATTGAAATAATTAAGTGATAATATTTTTGTGGCAACTCCCACCTGTCAGCTCGGGTGATGCTGACCCGCCTCTGACGACCGCTCTGTCAACGCCCACATTTGGCCAGACTTTCTTGGCCTATTGTGCCCAAAATATATTACCTATGATTTTATTTTTATTTTTCCTGTGCTCAGAGAACACAAATTAACATTTTTAGAAGACGAAATAATTTTTTAGATTTTTTCCTTGCGCACAGGGGTGTAAATCTCCTCAGGACTCCTTAGCACATTAAGGGTTAAAGAACACAACAAAGTTGCTGTCACAACCACAAGAAAAATGACAGGTTGGATAACAAGAACCTTCCAAACAAGAGGTGCCATGCCCTTGATATTACTTTTTTAAGACATTAGTGCTCTCTAGTTGAATATTGTTGCACACTAACAGCCCCATTCACAGCTGGAGAATTGCTGACCTGGAGTGTGTGCAAAGATCTCTTACAACTAAAATCCACTCAATAAAACAACTAAATTATTGGGATCGCCTAAAAAATGATAAATCTGTACTCCCTAGACCGCAGGCGAGAGATATTAGGACTGGTTTCAAATCTGCACACACAGATAACACCACATGAGACCAGAAAACATGGCGGGATGTACAAAATAGCTCCTATGAAAAACAGGTGCATGCTGAGAGAAAACAGAGTTATGCCCCCTACACATTTGGAGCATAACTGGTCAACCTCTCAGTGTTCAAAAGAGAACTTGACAAGCACCTTCAAAGGATACCTGATCAACCAGGCTGTGACTCTTATGTCAGGCTGTGAGCAACAACATAGAACAGCCAGGTTCATCAAACCAGCAACCAGGCCTGGTCAGAGACCAGGCCATAGGGACACTGATCCCCGAAATCATCAACAGTTAGGGTGACTTGTGGCAACCAACACAGTTATTTATTATTGATGGCATTTACTATACTGGCATTTTCAATTAAGGTTATGTCCTGTCTTCATTAAGCTGACATAAAGCAATAGTTATACTGTATATTAATATAGAATTCAGATAAAAATTTTGCAGCTTCTGTCCTAAAAACATGGAAACAAATGCACTGACCATACTCTTTGAAGGGTAAATTCCTTTCATATTTTAACTACCACTTGAGATGGAAGTTGCCAAATGGGAACATGGATTTAAATATATATACAGAAAAACAATTAAGTGATCTAGATAGATAACAAAATTATAAACCCGTCATATAAAAAAATATGTTCAGTTAAATTAAATATGTCACTATTAGCCACGTAATAGAAAATAATGCTTGCCTTACATTAAACTACAGAATTTAATAGATTCACATTGCAATATAAACGGTACAGAATTAAATCAAATTAATATATAGTTTATTAGCACCTGAATGCTATTCAGATACCGTATCAGAGGTACATCTTACAGCAGTTCTCGTGGACTTTTTCTAGGCTTAATTGCAGCATAACATCATGCAACCATAAAATACAGTTTTTTAAATAACACATTTTATGATGTTTATTATATTAAGACAACACTTGTTATATACCTGTCTTCTTGTGGAGAAATTATGCGCATACAACTTTTAAAAGGTATATACTGCACAGGTATTCATAATATTTGTCTAAATTAATCAAAGACATGATAAAAAAAAAGGGGGGGGAGTTGAACCCAATACAACTCAGTTGGACAAGTGTTACACCCTAACAACTTAGTTGAGTGTTACATCCTAACAACCCAGTTGGACAAGTGTTACATCCTAACAACCCAGTTGGACAAGTGCTTCATCCTGCCAACTTGGTGGGATGGTGTGAGAGGCTGTAACACCTTGAACACATGCTAAGGTGGGTACTGTACCCTGACAGCCAACTTACCAAGTACAGTATTGTTTTAATGCTTGCCAAGTTCTTTATTCATTTGCTCATATAGCATAGAACAGTATTGAAATATACATAATTAAATCCCTATGTATAATTAAAATTAATAATATACAACTACTGTAAGTTATTGCAAAATCAGAGTTGTAATAATATTTATTTTTAGATAAATCAAATCAATATGCTGGCAAGTTCTTGTTAATAACAACAATTTCATTTCCTGTGCTTCTTGGACTGCTTGGAAGAGTCCTCTCTTCTTCTTTTGTTGAGTACATTTCTTGGGTCATTTACGTCATACCATTTGTCATCCTTGGTGCTCGCATCCTTGGCCAATACAGGATTAGCCGTTTCAAAATGAAATCGATGTTTCAACCTGAGGACAATCAGGAAACATACATTTCAATTTCTTCAGATTAATAAGAACCAAATAATTTTTTGGTACAATCTTTCTTAACATTTGTATATACTGTATATTATGTTTGTGGTTTTAACAGATTTCTTACTTACCCATTTTCTTATTTCCCTAATGAAAATTCAGTCTGTCTTGTATCTTGACATATTTGGATTTGAGATCTTCAAATACCAGACCCTAACACATGCACAGGGGTGCTGAGGCCCAAGAACATTGACCAGATGTTCTTGGGGCCTCAAGATGTTCCCTGCGACAGGACACATTAGCAAAAACAGCTGAAAGACCGGCATACAGTACTTCTGGATGTGATTGGTAAAAGGGTAGACCGCAGGCTGGCTAAACTTGATGACAATGCAGACAACCTGAGACAGAAGAGGTGCTTGAAGGAGGCAATGGAGAGCCACCACCTGACAAAATATGGTACACTCAGGGTCGAACCAACCAAGCATTAACAAACAACGGACTCCTCCAGAAACCAACCGACTCCTTCTTGCAAGAAAAGGAGGAGCCAGCTGGAGACAACCAAACTGACCTCCAGGACAGAAAGAACAAAAATCCCAGTGCTGAAGGAGACCATGAAGTTCACAAACCCGACAACCCGAGACCAGGGATGCCTGGAAAAAAAAAAGAGCTTCAAGGAAAAAATCCCGGACTAAAAGGGAGGTAAGTCAAGCGAAAGACAGAAAATGGAGCATCCGGTCCAGAGACCAAGCAGGATCCGGCAGTGCATGAGCAGGTTGGACGTGAAACAATGTGTCAAACAGCCTGCAAAAAAAAAGAGCTGAGGAAATATCGACTTTGAATGCAAAATGCAGAAGCTCCACCATGGTGCATGATACAAGGTGACAGTTTTAACATAAGATTTCGATCAAGAAATTAGTAGGATAGAAAGGAAAGAACCACCAGCTCAGAAAAAAATGAAAAACACTGAAGTGTAAGGAGCCGCCAAGAAATTTCCTACTGCCACCTCAAGGAAATCCACAGATGGGACACCATCAAAGTAGCAACCTGACTGCCATAAAGATGCCAATACACCTGCATTAGAAAATCCAGATGCGAAGAGTGGAAGAAAAGGTCAAAACAGAGAAGTACATCACCAGACTGACCCTCTGGAAGAGGTGGAGCTGCGGAAAAGCGACCAAGTTTGGACACTGAGCAAGTAGCGCTGGAAACCAAGGGTGGATCAGCCACCAAGGAGCCAAAGAATCACCATCCCTCATAGGACTCCTGGAGCACCAGATGCACTGGGGTAATGAGGTATAGAAACCTCTTTCTCGAACAGTCCAGCCAAAAGGCGCCCACCATGAGGGGACCTCACAGTAGGAAAATGGAGCCACACAAAGGGGAGAGATGCCAAGACCAAGCCGACAAGAAGAGATCCTTGTCCTGCAGCCCGAACCAGAGGAAGACTTACCAGAGGAAGATTAGTAGTATTGACAGTTCACTCAGTGGAGATGGCATGGGAATGGGAAAGACCATTGGCAAGGACATTGGCACAGCCTGCTGACAGCAAGAGCTAGAGCAGCCTGCCAACATGCAAGCTACCCAGTGAAGAATTGCCCCTCCTTTCGAATGACTACTCTATCCTAGGTCTGTTTTCTGTTGAAGCCGGATGCTTGGGTGGTGCCACTGGACCTCAAGGACGCACATTGGCATATCCTGATTCATCCGAGGTTCAGGGACTGTCTCGGTTTTGTTGTGGGGCGTCGAAGTTACCGCTTTCGTTGCCTTCCATTCGGTTTGAATCTGGCTCCTCGCATTTTCACACGCCTTACCTGGGTCGTGGTGGCCCGCTTGCATCTGTTAGGTTTTCGGGTTCTGGCCTATCTCGACGACTGGCTGACGTGGGCTCCCAGCCGGTCAGTGTGTCTGCTTGCCAAGGATTTGGTTCTTTCCCAGCTCTCCAGGTTCGGGTTCTTGGTGAACCGGCGGAAGTCCCATCTGGTTCCCTCTTAGGATCGGTCTTGGCTGGGTACTTATGTAGGACACTCGGACAGCTTCATCTCTCCCTCCATGCGCTGCAGGAGGGAGAGACAAGGGTCTCTCGGAGGGTCACGAGGCAGTTGCTTGAAGGTTTGTGCAGAAGCCTGAATGTTTCCATGATGGTCTACCTGCCGGGTCGGGTGTGGCTTCGTCGGCTGTTCTGGTTCCTTCGGGGATGTTCCTTCCACCTCTCGCAACTGCTGGGTTCGGCCTCCGGGGGCTTTGCGTCAGTTGCTGCGTCGCCGGCTTCCTCTTCGGGTTTTCGGGGTTCAGGGAGGGCACCCCTCCCTCCCTTCCTCTGGTCGGCGGTGGTTTGACATCCAGCCTCAGGACAGAAGGGTGGATCGCCGGCATGAGGGTCTGGGGCTCCCCCATCCCCCTCCTGGGGAGGGGGATGGGGTTGCGCAGATAGTGGGGTGGCAACGTGAAAACGTCATGCAAGTCTGCTAATTTTCAGTTGAGGAGTTCTGTCCACTTGTTTAGCTTTTGGTAGCAATATTTTCACCAGAATAGGGGTTTGTTTTGGGGCGCCTACCTTTCTGTGTGCTAGACCCGGTCGATGGCAGACATAGAATGCTCCCAACTACACGGGGGGTTTCTATAGGCCATTGCTCCTCGTGCCTCTCTGAGGAGGGCCAGATTCTGGCTCATGGTCCCCGGTAGGCAAGAACTCCATGCACATTGACTGATGCCAGAAAGCTAATATATTCATATCAGCCTGGATAGCTCCAGGAACCCGACGGGGCTTCCCCCAGAAAAATATAAGAAAGTTTTCTTCTGCAAACAGGATGGTAGATGGTTAAAATAAGTTAAGTCAGAAAGCAGTGGATGCCAAAACCCTTTGTACAGTACTGTAGTTTCAAAGAGTTATGTGACAGAGTACCAGGAAGATGGGATACCACGAGCTTAGTTCTCATCCTGTAACGACACTTTGATAATTACACTTGGGTAATTTCACATCACCCATTCTCAAATGCAACCTCTTTGTTACTTACAGTTTTCTTGTTTTTCATTGTGTTGTCATTCCATTACAGTTTGCTAATTTTTCCATAAACTGTATCCCAGTTTAATGAATTTTTCTAAAATTCATGAGCTTATGGAAAACTATAAGGCACAAAAATTAATAAAATATAAATTAAAATCATCTGTATCTCCTTACCATCCTTCATCATTCTCATCATCTTTATCTTCAACAGACTTCTCATCCTCACTTGCCGAGTCTTCATACATAATTTTAGACACTTTTGCTGTGAATCTCTGTAGGAGTGCTAAAGTTTGTTCTTCCCGTGAAGAACCCTTGCGTGGTAATTTCTTCTTTTCTTCCTCATACCTGAAAAAGAAAAACATGTAGGAAACATTTTTTAAAATGCTCTCTCACTTTCTGAAGGTGACCCACCAGCAGGAAATGTTAAATTCTTATAATGCTGAACACTGCAAGTGTTAAATTTAGGAACTACTGAGGGGGACAAACCCAGAACACCTGATTTCCCCAATATATTGACCTCCAGAGCAACAAATAGATTTGTGGGCAGACCATAAAACAGGAAGATTCCCTGCTCTACCTGTTGGTATACTGCTACATCTTGCATCATGCTCTGAAATGTTGATGGTCAACCGTAAAGATCACCATGCTCCTCCTCTCTTTCTCATCCCTCACACATGTTAAAAATTGCACTTAAAACTCCAAAACTTCAGGTATGTCATATCTAAGTCCATCTTCACCAATTACAAACATTACACTTACTTGACTTTATCAATTTTGTATTCTTTGACTGGCTTACTCTCCTTGTCATCAACCTCATCCCACCTTAAATGTCATATCTAAGTCCCTCTTCACCAATTACAAACTGTTACGTTTGAAGGTGGAAGAGAAACAATCTTCGTCCACATGGTTTATTGTCAACAACCAACAACCACAACAAAACAATTGTAAGGTACATAACTTACTATTTACAAGATCATAAACAAAAGAGCATCTGCTCCAAACATGCTACACCCAACATCTGTAGCAGAACCCAACACAAACATTACACTTACTTGACTTTATCAATTTTGTATTCTTTGACTGGCTCACTCTCCCTGTCATCAACCTCATCCGTCACAGCTGTCTCTAATTTTGGCGATGTCCCTCTGAGTTCTTGTTTAATGTCTTTGATCTCTGCTTTAATTGCAGCCCTAGAAAACAAAAATTCTTGTAAAGTTTCCCACCTAAAAGAACCCAACATTCAAGGTAATGAAGTGCCTTTTTTGATGGAGTCCCCTAGTGGCTGCCCAAAGCTATATGCTGAGATGGTACCAACTACCAATTCACATCAGCCATGGAGTTCTGAAACATAATACAGGGTACAAAACACAATTGAATCTGCCCATAGTAGGAAAACAGCATGTCAAGGATTTGGGAATAATGGTGTCCGACAACCTAACGTTTAGGTAGCATAACCAAGCAAATATTGCGGCAGCTAGAAAAATGATAGGATGGATTACGAGAACCTTCAAGTCCAGAGATCCCATCACAATGGTTGTACTCTTCAAATCACTTGTGTTGTCCCGTCTTGATTACTGCTCAGTATCCAGGACGTGTACACTCAATGGAACCTAGCAAGGGGAACCACTGGAAGGAGGAAGAGCACTCAGTACACAGGTGGCAAGAACCAAGGCAGATTCCCCACCAGGCAGGCAAACAAAAAGAAAAAGAAAACCCCCACAAGAGGATAGCATACCCCGGTGGAACAGAGCTGGCCGCTATGATTGGTGAAAACAAGCTGCACCCCTACCAGTGCAAACTGCCCCCTACCCTAAGGCAAACAAGGGAGACAGAACACCCAAGCACACAAAGAGCAGCCGAAAACCAAGCAGTATACGACCTGACAGAGGCAGAACCCCAGGAACTTGTGGAAGGCTGCCCCAAGCCCCAAGGGCGGTACTTACTGGGCACCTAGGGAAGGAAACCCTAGGCGCATGCAGCCAGAGTATTGGAGAATCACTCCCGGCTCAAGCACCACCTAGAAGACAGTCACCACACACAAGGTACAGTGCTGAAACAACCACTGGAGCCAGAGCACATGACCGTTGCCTATAGCATCAGCCTCAGAACTGAGAGGTGGATTGCCGCCCGCACCGCAGACAGTTGGATGCGGGAAGCCGAAAACCTCCAGAAAGACGGAACTGATGCACCCGAGGGAACATGGAATCGAACCCGGGGAGGAGCAGACACCAAATTCAACTTGTATGCAGAGGGGGAAAAAGAGAACCCCCCTTCCTTGTAACAATAAGTCCCGCTCTGAGGGTAGAAAAACGCAGGTGGGGTCCAGCGGGGCCCAAAGCCCCCAAGTCAGCGCCTCCCAAGCCCCAGGATCCCCCTCCATGGGACCCGGAGCCGAGTCATCCCCCAGAGCACCGGCCCCTAAAGAAAAGGCCAGTGCAGCCAAGAAAGCTGAAGAGAAGAGGGCCCACTGGTCAAACCCAGAAGCTTCGGCAGGGAGATTGGACTTGAATGCCCCCGTCACTACACCAGAAAAAGCATCCCCTGAGACAGCCCCAGACTCAAGAAAATCTAATCCCGGCCCCGACTCCGAAACTCTCAGACATTTCAGAGCCGGAAGCAGGGGGGTGGGGGAACAGAATGAACCACAACAGGGAAAGGATGAAGGCGCGGACCGAACCAAGGTCGAAGCGACCACCCCCCCCCCCAAGTCCGGTTCTCTATAGGCAAAATGGGGCAGCCTCGGGGCATCTGGGTGAGCAATCACCCTAACGAGTTGCAACAACCTAAAGCGCATATGCAACGCCTGTGTAGCCTGTACCCATAGAACATCATCATAAGACTGGGTAAACTGAGTCACCAGCAAGCAACAGAACTCGCAGGAGTCCGGGTCGAAAGTGTCACTGACCAAACAGGCAGCATGACGGAGGCAAAAACCGTGAGGGTCACTCTGAGTCAAGGGGACCGAGCAACCCTCGAACTCGCACGAAGTAATTGGGGGGGGCTCCGGGGACACATCCATCGGACCCACGCGCCCCAAGGTGATTCCCAGGGTCCTAAGTGCTTAACGTAACTCACGCCCAGGTAAACCCAGGCAGGCTACTGCTAACCGGCGCCAACAATTACAGAGCAACTTTTTAAAGCTGACTCCCAGAGACGCACTCACTCAAGGGGACCTAGCAGGGTGCTCCACCCGAAGAGAACCGTACATAGGTCAGGCACAAAAAAAGGGGGGAAACAAGGCAGATCCCCCCCACAAGGCAAAAAACAAAAAAACAAAAAAACAAAAAAACAAAAACAAAACCCCGCAAGAGGACAATGCACCCCAAGGAACAGAGTCGGCCGCTGTGAATGGTGGCAACTAGCAGCGCAGTACCCTGCACTCCGCTCCAGTGCAAAACAGCCTCTTACCTTAAGGTAAACAAGGAAGACAAAACCCCCAAGCACCCAAAGGGCGGCCGAAAAACCATGCAGTACAACGGCCCAGCAGAGGCAGGTCCTGAGGAACTTGTGGAAGGCAACCCCAAGCTCCAAGGGCAGAGCTTACAGAGCACCTAGGGACGATAACCCTACGCGCATGCAGTCCGAGTACTGTAGAATGACTCCTGGCTCTCGCACCCCTGGAAAACAACCACCACACGCAAAGCACAGTGCTGGAATCACTGGAGCCAAGCACACGACCTCCGCCTTAGAACTGACGGGTGGATAGCCGGCATGGGGGGGGGGTGTCTGGGGCTCCTCCTTCTCCCTCCCGGGAAGGGGGGAGCTGTGCAGATAGCGACACGGTGATGTGTGACGTCATGCTCATTTGCTCGTTTCTTTTAGGGGAGTTCTATCCACTTGTTCAGCTTTTGGTAGCAATATTTTCACCAGAATAGGGGTTTGTTTTGGGATGCTTACCTTTCTGGGTGCCTGACCTGGTCGATGACAGACATAGAATGCTTCCAACCACATGGGAGTGTCTATAGGCCATTGCTCCCCATACCTCTCTGAGGGGGGCCAGGTTCTGGCTCATGGTCCCCGGTAGGCCTACAGAACTCCATACACATGATTGATGCCAAAGTCTGACATTAGCATATCAGCCTAGTAAGCTCTGGGGAGCTTAGAAGATATCCAAGAAGCCTGGCATATCCAATAAGATACTAGATGACCAGTTCAGCAACCTGGAGGCCTTGTTGATTCCTGGTTGATGGGGTTCTGGGAGTTCTTCTACTCCCCAAGCCCGGCCCGAGGCCAGGCTTGACTTGTGAGAGTTTGGTCCACTAGGCTGTTGCTTGGAACAGCCCGCAGATCCACATACCCACCACAGCCTGGTTGGTCCGGCACCCCTTGGAGGAAACAATCTAGTTTTCTCTTGACGATGTCCACGGTTGTTCCGGCAATATTTCTTACGCTCGCTGGGGGGGTGTTGAACAACTGAGGACCTCTGATGTTTATACAGTATTCTCTGATTGTGCCTATGGCACCCCTGCACTTCACTGGTTCTATTCTGCATTTTTTCCATATCGTTCACTCCAGTACATTGTTATTTTACTGTGTAGATTTAGTACTTGGCCCTCCAGTATCTTCCACGTGTATATTATTTGATATCTCTCTCTTGTCTTCTTTCTAGCGAGTACATTTGGAGGGCTTCGAGACGATCCCAATAATTTAGGTGCTTTATCGCGTCTATGATTGCCATATATGTTCTCTGTATTCCCTCTATTTCAGCAATCTCTCCTGTTCTGAAGGAGGAAGTGAGTATTGAGCAGTACTCAAGACAGGACAACACAAATGACTTGAAGAGTACAACCACTGTGATGGGATCCCTGGATTTGAAAGTTCTCGTAATCCATCCGATCATTTTTCTGGCTGATGCAATATTTGCTTGGTAATGCTCCCTAAATGTTAGGTCGTCAGACATCATTAAGCCCCCCCCCCGTTCCTCAACCAGACGGCCTGGTTGAGGGACCGGGCCACGAGGACGTTGAGTCCAGAAATCATCACAAATCATGGCAAGGGTCCCCAGTCCATTATACAAAATAAGCAAATGATGGTTCCTACCCCAAAATATCCTCCAATTTTATGCTATACAGGTACATTAAAAAAATCATGTAATATTTTTTAATTAAATAAATTTCCTCTAAAATCCATCACCAGGAAATGTAAAATATACTTACATTTGTTCAGGTTTTTCACTTCCTTCTTCCTCCTCCTCATCTTTAATTGGTTTAATAATAATTTCTTCATTTATACTTTCAGGTTCAATTATTTCATTTTTTATAGGTTCCATAGATTCTTCACGGCGTAATTTCTTCTTTATCCTGCAAAACACAACGAGTTACCAGCTGTAGATTGACTCAGCAGTAAAGGTGCACATCCCTAATACTGAAAAAAAAATCAATATTTTCTGGCTTGGACAAATCTGTGAAGCTTTGAATATTAAACAAATATTGACATGCAATCTGACATTGACCCTGAACTGAATCTGCTATTACACATCTACAATAACCAGCACATTGATCACCACTACTGCATTTATTACATGGCAAACCTTGCAAAAGCAAACTGCAAAATAACACTAGCCTCTCAGAATTCAACCAAAATGTCAGATCACTTAAAGGTTTAGATGATATAAATGAACTACTAGAGGCACTAGGTACTCAAGTCATTCATTATCGTGAGAGAAACATGGCTAAGTAAGGACCATATTCAACTATACAACTTTGCCAGTTATAAAGCTATTCATAACTGTAGACCGGACATAAAAAAAAAAAACGATCTGAAAATACACCACCACAGACTCTGCAAACAGAAATGGACAAAAAACCAGCGTTGAATGTAATAAAACGCCATTTTCTGGGTGAGACTCGGAGGCTTCCCGGAGCTATGCCAAGCTGATGTGTATATATTAGACCGAGGAACAAGGTCACCTAGAACAGTAAAGGGGGACCATAAAGGCAGACCCCCACCAGGAAGAACAAAAACAAAAGAAAAAAACCCGCAAGAGGACAACGTACCCAGGCAGAACAGAGCCGGCCGCTGTTATTGGTGAAAACTAGCTGTGCGGTACCCCGTGCCCCCTACCAGTGACGAAAACAACCACCTACCCAGAGACAAACAAGGGCAACAAAACCCCAGCCGACTCCAAGGGCGGCCCAGTACCGAGCAGTAAAGGACACAGCGGAGGTAGAACCCAAGGTGACTTGTGGAAGGTGGCCCCAAGGGCAGTACTTACAGGGCACCTAGGGAAGATAGCCCTAGGCACATGCAGCCCGAGTACTGTCGAATCTCACTCCTGGCTCACACCCCATCGGTAGAGACAGTCCACACCACAAGGCACAGAACTGAAACAAAAACCGGAGCCAGAGGCACTCGACCTGCCAGTAATTCCATCAGCCAAGAACTGCCAGTAAGATAGCCGGCGTGGAGGGTCTAGGGCTCCCCCTGCCACCTCCCAGGGAGGGGGGTTGCGCAGACGGTGGCGCGGCGACGTGATGTCGTCATGCTAGTTTGATAATTTTGTTTGGGGAGTTCTGTCCACTCGTTCGGCTTTCGGAAGCAATATTTTCACCGAAATAGGGGTTTGTTTTGGGGCGCCTACCTTTCTAGGTGCCTATCCCGGACGATGGCAGACCTAGAATGCTCCCAACCACAAGGGGGATTCTATAGGCCATTGCTCCTCGTGCCTCTCTGAGGGGGCCAGGTTCTGGCTCGTGGTCCCCGGTAGGCAAGAACTCCTAGCACTTTTACTGATGCCAGAAAGTTATACATATCCATTCAGCCTGGATAGCTCCAGGGAGCCTCTGGGGCTCCCCCCCCAGGAACCCCAGTTCCCAAATATCAGACCATGGCATGCTACCAAAAACCATCGATAAAGCGGCGTACTGTACTTCCTAATATCATGAGCATTGGGGTAGACTACAGGGTGGCTAGCCTTAATGACACCACAGATAACCTGAGACACACGAGCCTTGGAGCAGGAAACCAGGGAAACCGGGTGAACCCACAACGACTCCACTGAAACAGAATCAGTGGTTCGCAGGTAGCAGTGCAAAGCCGCCACCGGACAGAATGCACGAATGATGCGCCCTTTGCCGAACAAACACACTACATCAGTCGAGAACTGACTGGGCTCCCCGCCTCCCCCCAACAAGGGGGGATGGGAGGTGGAGCCAACTAGTGGGGGGCTGGTTTGACAAAGTTTTGGTTGCTTATTTTCTTGTTGCAGGAGTTTCATTAACATTTTGAGGACTGAGATCTCATTTTAAACCATGCAGTGGTTTGTTTTGATATGCATACCTATTTGGGTACCTTTCCTGGATGATAGTAGCGATGATAGACTTTAAATGTAAAGTATTCGTGGGCCATCGTTCCCTGTGCCTCTCTGAGGGGGCCAGGTTCTGGCTCATGGTTCCCGGTAGGCAAAAAGAACTCAGTGGCTAATGACACTCAAGTAGCATGGCACTTAAACAGTATGATATCTTCAGGGAGCCTCCAGGGCTCACCCAGAAACTGGCATTCCATTATATTCAATGCTGGATTTTTCTTCCCCTTAAAAAAAATTAAGGACTGTATTGAGGACAGAAAGTACAAAATAATAGGAAACTAACCTTTCAAGAGAATCAGTTCCATTGTTGTTAGCCCTGCCAGTGCTTGCCGAGAGTGTTGGGTCCATGGCAATGTCATGGGCAGAGTTGCCTTTAGTGGAGAAGTTTTTGGTAGCTGCAAGGACCTCCTCCTCCTCCTCCTCAGCTTCATCACCAAAGGACAGAAGCTTAAAATTTCTGCAAACAGTTAAAAGGAACCATGGAATATTTGTATACATTGCCCTCAACATTCCAGGCAGCTAGTGAAATCTTTCCCAGTAATTTGGGATTAAACTCTAACCTGTACTTCTAAAATAAATTTCCTAACTTTCCTTTACTGCTTCCATCTCTTTAGCACCATTTAGGATGATCCTCAAGGATTGAGCTGTCCCTTTTTCGTACCTGCCAATTCTCCTGTAGTCACAGACATTATTTTTGGTTGTAAGACCTTCCACTAGCCCAACAATTTTATCTACTACAAGACAAGCAGACGACAAGTAGACTATGGACAAGAGACGAGTTCCATTTTTCATGTAAAAATATTTTCAAATGGATGGTGGCACCTCTACCCTCTTTTCTTTCTCTCCTACTAATCTTATCATTTCATCCCCTAATACTATCCTATAATCCTTTCTTTTAATCTCTCATTCCATCTCAACTTTTCCTTTTCACAAAATATTTCATCCCACCTTCCATCCGGTTATTCCCCCTCTCACCCTCCCTTTTTCCTCTGTCCTCTCTAACTTCTCTGTTGTTTTACTCTACGCCTTTTCCTTCCCTCTCATCATTAACCCCAATCCCCCCTCCTTGTTACACTCGGGTATTGGTGTTCTAACAGTGTTCTAGTGGCCTGATATTTGGTTAATGTCCCTGGACCTAGTCAGTCATGTGTTGCATTGGGCCGAGTCTTCTGGCCTGGCTTTACTTATTAGACCTAGTGCAAGCCTTCTCTTCTCCTCCCTGATAAATCCTGTTTTTGTTGTCTGTGGTTAGTTAGCTTCTGGGAGTCACCAGGGGGGGCTCCCTCCAGAAACCCAGGATTGAATGTAATGAAATGCCTCTTTCTGGATGTGTCCTTGTGGCTCTGACTAACTCCCTCCCTACCAGGTTAGTTAGCTTGTTGGTGTGCTGTTCTTCAGCTTCGGAACTGAGTAGGAAGATTGACTATGAGTGAAAGCCTTGCTGCCTGGTGGTGCCATACAGTACTATTGGTTTTGCACTAATTTTGAATGTTTCTCTTGTTCTATCTGAACTGCATGCAAAATTGTCTGGCATATTCAAGGCATTTGTCTATGTAAGCCCTCCAGTTGTCTGCAAACTTCCGTTTCTGGATGCTTTCCTTCACTTGCTCTCTGCCCCCTCTGTTAGGGGGCCAGAGTCTTGCTCTGGTTCATGGTAGGCCACATCTATTGTGACTCAACTGAATGGAGCAATCTCAGTGAGATAGCTTCAGGGAGGCACCGAGACTAATACAGAGAGAAGCATCTCATTTTCATTACATACCTTTTTTTTAGTATATACTGTACTTTCTACCAAGTGGGCCAGTCCAAATTAGGCTGGGCCTGCAGAATCAGGTTTGGACCATGAAAGTGTTAAAGTAAATTACAGACAGTTACAGACAGGATATTTATCTAAAAATTAGCTGAGAAATATAGATCAATTCTCTTCAATTGTTACTGGAAACACAACTCTATGACCATGTAAATTAAACACATTGCTGAAATGTATCACACATTAGGGGTCTATCTCGAACCTTAGTCAGAAAGCTCAAATACTGTACTCAGGAAAGTTCTTCGTGAAATGCTGTATTTTACTTGAACAGTAGTACTGTACCATAATGATCAAAATCATTCTCTTCAGCTATGTAGTTGCTAAATGTTATAATAATCAAAGTCCTGTAACTGTATCTCATATCCTCTACACATACTTGGTTCCTTTCTTCTTCTTCTTCTCCTTCCTTGCTTCTTTTGGTACTTCATTTTCAATCTTTAGTCGTGGAACAATATCTGGAAATGGATTGCTCAGGACCTCTGTTGTGATGATCTTGTGAGGGTATTCAGGCTTGTCCTCCTGGAAATAAAATCTGTGAAGGTATTGTATACAATAACATGTCTTTCATCTCAAAAGAAAATAATATCTTAAAACCAAGCAACTTGTGGCAAAGAAAAGCGCAAATTAAATTTCATTCTAGTTCACTGACACTTGCACCCTGATACTTATATGATTGCCAATCATTGCATAAAAACTTTATGATGTGTGTATTAGTGGCTTTGTGTTGTACTTTTCTAACTCATGCATTCTCCACTGTTCATGTATCATATGCATGTATATACTCTTGCAGTAATAAAATATTATGCATTCAGGGCAGGTCAACAGTCTGCACCAAAAGAGAGCAACTTTTGAAACGGTCCCTGCTGTATCACGCTGTTACTCCGGAGACACTAGAATATGCTCACTCCAGTACAGAATGTATCCACAAATACAAAATACCAGCACTGAATGTAATGAAACGCCAGTTTCTGGAACCAACGGCCCACCTCAACATGCGGAACCCTGAACCCTGGCACGACCCCTCCGAGACGGCCAAGAACGACTGCCCAGGTTAACCAACAACAACTAGGACGACAACCAAAAAAGTTGGTTGTCTTTTTCTGCTTGCAGAAACTGTGAATATGCAAATATGAATATAAAGACGTCTGAAAAGACGTCTTCATATTTGATATATGCATTCTGCAAGCGAAGCCGCTTGCAGAAACTGCAAATTACAGGGCAAAAATCCTAAACAGGAAATTGATGCCTAAGGCGACATCAGTCAAGAACTGGAAAGTGCGTAGCTGGGCTGACCCGAGCTAACTCCCCCTTCCCCCGTGTGGTGGAAGCGGGGGGGAAGGGTGTTTGTGTGGGGAAAGGGGCTAATGAGCTGGGGGCTAGTTGAATGAAATGTTGCTTGTCTGTTTTCTATATGGGGGGAGTTCTGTTGCTCTTTTCAGGATGTAGGTCGCATTTTTCAACCAGACAGTGATCTGCTTTGTCTTGCCAACCTTCTTGGGTGCCTCCTTGGTCGATGGTAAGTATGATATACTTTAAACGTAAAGTGTTCATAGGCCATTGCTTTCTGGGCCAGGTTCTAGGGCTGGTCTCTGGTAGATAACAAGAACTCTGAGACTGATGACTCCAAAGAAGATAGCACTATATCAGTGGGATAGCTTCAGGGAGCTAACAGGGCTCCCCTCAGAAAACGTATTTGTGACAACTCCTGCCATGCTGCTTGGCTGGAGAACACCACAACTGGTGTGTACTCTATCAGCGAGTGAATACTGCCAGATTTTCTTGTCCCATCACGGCCAAAGAATGTTATGAACACTATTTTTTGTTTTGTTTCCCGTGATCAGGAGAATGCATGTTAACAATGTAAGGACAAAAAATTTTGTTGAATAATATTTTTCTGTACAATATGGACTTGTCATATTTAATAGCTGAGCAATACAGTGGTTAACCAATGCCAGAGGTCCTAGCTCTTTTCAAGACTACCTTACACTTCACAAGCCTGGCTACATACCACCTACAGCAACAAAAACCAAAGGTGCATTGTTTGCAAGCAGACAGAATGAAGAAAAAGGAAGCAAAAATCTGTGTATACCTGGTGCATTGAGTGCAAAGTTACTCTGTGTACCATGGACTGCTTCTTTGATTATCATTAACTTCCAAAGTATTGAGTGTGAAATACAGTGTATGACTGTGTAGTGTATGACAGTGTACATAAGTGTAAATAAATTTAATATTGAACAAGTAATATTGTGACAATAAAAAAATTTTGTGGACACATTAGTGTCACAAGTATCACAGTTCCATGTAACATTATGAACCTTCTACTATGTACATATTTGTAAAAGACACAAATATGCATCCGATACAATAAAAAATAAATGGAATTAGATGGCATTGAAAATGCATGGACAAAATTAATGAAAATATATTTGAGGCAACTCGTGAGTCTTGGAATGCCCACGCGACCGCCTCTGGGCACCTCCTGCATATGCAAAAACGTATCGGTGACCTTCCATCGCATCTTCTTCACATTGCCACAGCAAGTTGTTTTTTATATATACAGGCGATGAGTCACAATAACATGGCTGAAGTATGTTGACCAGACCACACACTAGAAAGTGAAGGGATGACGACATTTTGGTCCGTCCTGGACCATTCTCAAGTCGATTGTGATGATTGTATGAGAAGGCAATAAATAGGCAGAAGAGAGGTGAGGAGAAGAAAATCTTAGAGAAAGAGAAGGCAAGGCAAAGGTAGGGAAGGTAAGGTGTAATAAAGGGGGATAGTAAGAATGAGAAAACAAGAACATAAAAACAAAGAACTGGGCACTTTGTTCAGGGAACAAAGTGTTACATGTTCAGGGAACGGATTTTAACAATTTACAAAGAAAACAAAATTTGGGGTGAACACATCAATTTCCACACACACACCACCAGACTGTCACAATAAAAGCCGTGCAGTATGAAGGTTAAGGGTTAAATAAACAGTTCACTTAACAGTATAATAATTATTAAAATTAAGCCAGCACTAACCTTTCCTATAACTCCTTCCTCAAACCGAGGCAAATTATAGAGTGTATTTCCTGTAATTTTGCCAAAAATGGTATGCTTGTTTTGAAGCTCTGGAGTCTGGCCTAGAGTGAAAAAGAACTGAGAGCCATTGTCATGAGGACCTGCATTTGCCATGGCAACCAGGCCTCGACGGACAAACCGCAGACGTGTGTGGAATTCATCCTGTCAAGCAAAAAAAAAAAAAATGTCATAAAAAAAGCAAAGTTGCATGGGACATTAGATTATTTCTAAACTACAAATAATAAAATAGTGTGTTAAATTGAATGAAATGCACTGTTCTGTGCAGTACTCTAGTTGCTACCTGATTAGATAATAATCATTGCCCATACACCAGGCTATTAACCACTGTGATGCGCTGAGTTTATTGTGACATTCCCCCTGTGCGCATGAAATCAAGTGTTCCCAAAAAATTATTTTTTGCTTGTAAAATGATAAATTCCCTTCCCTGAACATGTCTATGTAAAAATAAATACCAAATTCCACTTACTTTGGCTGTGGGGACGTGGACAAGGTGCGCTGTGACGTCATCAGGGGCTGGTCACCTGTGAGTGAAGCTCCCAGACACGGTCGCGCGGGCCATTCAAGCACCAAGAGTTACCACAAATATATTTTCAATTATTTGTTTCTATGTATTTCCAATGCGGTTTTATTTGTTTGTTTTTTTATCGTATATGATGCATATTTGTGTCCTTTACAATATGTATACAGTAGAACGTTCATAATGTTCCATGGAACTGTGATACATGTGTCAGTAATGTGTTTACAATAAATGTTTATTGTCGCAATATTACTTTTTAAAAATTCACTAAAATTACAATATGTACAGTTTCACACACTATTTACACAGTAACACTGTATTACACACTCAGTACTTCAGAACTGAGTAATATTCAACGAAGTAGTCCATAGTGCACAGCGCGACTTTGCTCTCAATGCACCAGGTACAGATAGATTTTCGCTTTCTATTTCTTCGTTCTGTGTGCTTGCAAATAAAGCGCTCACGTACACCCTTGGCTTTAGTACTTGTAGGTTGTATGTAGCCAAGCTTGTAAAGCAGAAGGTAGTACTGAATTATAGGAAACTGGTAGTATTGATTATAGGAAAAGATTAATTTGTAAGGTAGTCTTGAAAAGATCGCTTTGTAAGATCCCACACAGGAAGAGATTCAGCTAGCCTCAAAGAGTGTCCATCAGTCAGGAAGAGATTCAGCTAGCCTCAAAGAGAGTCTGTCAGTCAGGAAGAGATTCAGCTAGCCTCAAAGAGTGTCCGTCAGTCTGGAATAGATTCAGCTATTTTTCAAAATATCTATGGAAAACACCACCATGGAAGCCACTAACACTGTTCATCTATGCTATGCTATGTATCAGATGCATCATCGCTGAACGCAGAAAATGATTCATCTATGTATCATCTACATAAATTGGAGATAGCAAGGGTGGTGCTCAGAGCTACAACTGGATACGCTCGCTGTATCATCCTCATAGGTGCTGTATCACTTGCATCCGACTTTTGCGGAAGGTCCTTATTGCGCCTAACTTCACCAATAATATGACCCTTATGTTCTTCAAATAATAAGGTTTGAATTTCACCGACAGAGCGCGATCTTTCAACACCGCGTCGGACAAGTGTTTGGGAGCCAGAGGCGCGTGTGCCACCCATGGTTGCTCACTCAGTCAGCAGCCCTAGGGCATTCTGGGATTTTTTTCCAAGATGGCTGCCTCTCACTGGAGGTCCTAAGAGTTCATTTCATATACAACCAACCTCACACACATTTAGAATGGGTACAGAAAAATCAAAGAGAGTTTTCTTGGTTGGCGCAGTTTCCCGCCGATCGAGAATACTCGGTTGGCGCAGTTAAGTGGTTAACGAGTGACTCAATCTACGAGCATTTCGAGTAACGAGCGAGCCACTTGCAGCAAATTTGTCTCTATTGACGAGCTTCACCTCTATTAACGAGCAAAACCACATGGTACTTCCTAGCGTTCCTAAGAGGGAGAACGGCCTATTGACATAGCTCGAGTGCATGGGGGAGTTGTGTAAAACCTTAGTTTGTGTCTCGGAGAGACTGCAGGATCCAGTAAGTTCAGTAGAACTTCGGTTTAAACTTTTTTGACCATATTGTAGCTCAGTCGATTAAGGCAGCGTTTGGGATGCTCTTGGACGCAGGTTCGAATCCTCGTCACGGCCCTTGTGGATTTGCTCATTTGATGCATCACGTTATTGTGATTTCTGTGTGTAGCGTCTCGCTGGTTCTCACAAATTCTCGGATGCCTCCAACGCCAGTGGTGTTGTTGTATCACGCACGACAAGCATCCCTCTGCATTTATTTGAGCTTTTCTTTGGTTTTTTGTGGTTTTGTGACTACAATTTGCAATGTACGATGTCGCCAAAGAAGCTGCTTGATAAAGATAGTGTTGTCAAGAGGAAGAACGACACAATTACCGTGGATTTGAAGAAGGAAATTATAGCAAAGCATGAGCGTGGTGTCCATGTGACTGTTGTCACATGGACACCACGAGCTAGCCTAGATCATCTAGGTTTCTTATCTTCCCTATTTTCTTAGCATCATCAGCAAACATGTTCATATATCATCCCCCATCTTGAAGGGTATATCATGCCCATCTTGAAGGGTATGTCATGCCCTTCAAGAAGACCTGGACAAAAAATAAGTATATGGAGCAACACTTGGCAAATGAATTTAATGTGAATAAATGCCATGTTATGGAATGTGGAATTGGAGAACATAGACCCCACACAACCTATAAATTATGTGAGAAATATTTAAAGAATTCTGACAAAGAAAGGGATCTATGGGTAGTTCTAGATAGAAAACTGTCACCTGAGGACCACATTAAGAACATTGTGCGAGGAGCCTATGCTACACTTTCTAACTTCAGAATTGCTTTTAAATACATGGATGAAGGAATACTAAAGAAATTGTTCACGACTTTTGTTAGACCAAAGCTGGAATATGCAGCGGCTGTATGGTGCCCATATCTTAAGAAGCACATCAACAAACTGGAAAAGGTGCAATGACATGCCACTAAATGGCTCCCAGAACTGAAGGACAAGAGCTACAAAGAGAGGTTAGAGGCATTAAATATGCAAAAACTAGAAGATAGAAGATAAAGAGGCGATATGATCACTACATACAAAATAGTAACAAATCGATAAAATTGATAGGGAAGAATTCCCGGGACCCGGAACTTCAAAAACAAGAGGTCATAGATTTAAACTCACGAAACAAAGCTGCTGAAGAAATATAAGAAAATTCACTTTTGTAAACAGAGTGGTAGACGGTTGAACAAGTTAGTTGAGAAGGTGGTGGAGGCCAAAACCGTCAGTAATTTCAAAGTGTTATATGACAAAGAGTGCTGGAGAGACGGGACACCACGAGCGTAGCTCTCATCCTGTAACTACACTTAGGTAATTACATACATCTACATATACATACACACTTCTGTACAATGTATGGCTGGTAAACTTTGGATCTGAGCTACATTATCTTACCTAAGATCATATACTTACTCTAAATGGTTTGCCATATATGGATTCCCCACCCTGACCAGTTCCTGTTGGGTCACCACCTTGAACAATGAAGCCGGGGATGACTCGATGAAAAATAAGGCCATTGTAGTAACCTTCCAAGCACAGCTGCACAAAATTTCGGCATGCCTTGGGTGCTTCTCTGGACCATAATTCAATGTCAAACTCCCCAGCACTGGTAACAAGAAGAACCTGGAATGAAAAAACAAATTAATAATTTAAAAATAAAAACCTACAGTGAGTATCCTTGCCACGATTTTCTTTAGTAGATTTCCATTGAATCAAAATCAAAATTTAAGCCAGAATTGCAAACCGAAAGCCAAACTAGTAAGAAGAACGCCCCAACCAAAAACAGGGAAAATACCATCCCACATCCGTCTGAGCAATCCCCCCCTCCCCGGGAGGTGGACGGGAGGTCTCCGACTCCGGGTGAGTCCCGGAGTGAGTTATGTGGGGTGATAGCACATGATTAGCATCACAGAGAATAAACAATAATGGATAATGTTGATACCTGGCAAAGTCAAAATTGTTTGAAAAACAAAAACCTAAGCTAAGAAGTGTGAATAAGCTAAAAACAGGCCCGCAGGATACTGTTCTAAAGAGATAAGCTTAAGGCATGAACTGATTCATAAGTTATCTCACATTGCACTGCATGGTGTTTACATGATTCAGACAACAGCCAGATTCCAACATTGATTGGAACATTAACTATTATACCTCTTAAACAGTCCTGAGATTCATAGTGATGTTTCTGACACGAATATTACCTTGTAATTATAGATTAATTAAAACACCAAACAATAGTTACTAAATAACCACTGAAAAACAAATATTGATTATGAAATATAAATTACCTTTCCCTCGGTGGATGGTTCTTGTATATAAATATTGCTCATTGGAGTTAGATATTTGAAGAGACTATAATGATGGCGTTTGTGTCTGTGCTACATGTGCAGTTTCCACCAGGCTTCCCCACTTGCAGTCACTGCGGTAACATATACCAAGTTTCCAAGTCTTTAATGATGCTAGTTGTTCTCCTAGACGATACTTGCAGTAATGGTAGTTCAGAAGCCTGGTGTTGTACCTGGTGGCAACGTCTTAGTTATTCATGGTGCCGCAGAGGACCTGGGACGCTGACAATTGTTCAATATAATTTGCGTAGAGGTTTAAAGATGAACTTTGCACGAGTTGCTTGGTTAAAACTATAGTCCTTTGAGCATCTATATAAATGTTTTCAACATGAAACAACGCTTTGATTTGGACAAGCGACGATATTTCTACGAGAGTGTACGTAGCCGCTCGAGGAGGCAAGTGTTGTTGTTGTAGGGTTAGAGGCAGCTAGAGCACAGGGCGCCACATCCCCCCCTCCCCTCCCCAGTAAGTCCCGGCGTAGCTGGAGGGTCCAGCAGCCACAGATGAACCAGCAGGGCCGCCCTACGGACCAGCAGGGCCGCCCTACGGACCAGCAGGGCCGCCCTACGGACCACTAGGGCCGCCCTACGGACCAGAAGGGCCGCCCTACGGACCAGTAGGGCCGCCCTAACGACGCTGTTGCTGTTGTTGTTTCAGATTTAACTACTCAGAACGAAGTGTCCATGTAGCACAGGCTATGGTGAGCCCGTAATTGAGTTTGGTTATTCACGATAACCTTGTTTCTGTGATATTTGGGTCTAAGTTTCAAAATGGAGGTGGAGATTCCTCCTTTTTCCCTGTATAGAGCTGATAAGTTAGTCAAAAAATCTGCCTTTAAAGGAGCCGTTGAGTGTAACCTTTGATTGTCAATGAGCAATCTGAAAGCAGCAGTACACCGAGAACTTCAACACGATCTTGTAGATCTGAGGCAAAGTGAAATTGACACCAGTAATTCATCTATCATCATACTATCATGCAAGAGGAGCCACACATCTATGGATCATCCAATAAAATCAGCAGACTTCTAGATGTTACTACTGCTCGGCTTAGACTCGGTTACAAGTATCTCTGGGAATTCTCATTCTCTGCTGATGTAGATCTGACCAAATGTAAACTGTGTCAACAAAATTATTCGCATACCCTCCGTCACTATGTGATGGAGTGCGAAAAGATACGTGAATTTAGGGACAATTCTATAACCAATGTTCCAGCGATGTGTAAATATTTCATTCAAAATGATCTGCTACCAGAAATTTTAGCAAAATATCCCCAGTTTGCTAACTGTAGGTAGTAACTAAGTGATTGTAACCTATCCACCGCTGCCCACTGGATGGGGGGCGGTGTGCAGGACAAACATATCAATTGTGACACTAGCTCTCCACATATGTCAGTTGCTTAATTTAGAACCTGTACTTGAGGTCGATCTCGAACCCATTTTTGATGTGACGACTTATATTGAATTTTGTAACTAGCTCATCAAGATTGTAACTTACTTAGCTAAATAAATTGTGGGGTTAAGTCCCCGAGCCCATTATGTGCCTCTGTAACCCTTTCCACTACCGCCCACAAGATGGGTATGGGGTGCATAATAAATGAACTAAACTAACTCCCTGTTTATTTATACAAATACAAATATTTATTCAGGTAAAGTACATACATGTACTCGGATGTAAAGTACATCCGAGGCCATGCACTGGACTATATCCAATCCTATATTAGTGATAGACACCAATGTGTAGTCATCGATAATATAACCTCTCCCACTCTACCAATAACCGTTGGAGTGCCACAGGGCAGCATCTTTGGACCTCTCCTATTTCTTATATACATCAATGATCTACCTAATGTCTCTAACATTCTGAAACCTATTTTGTTTGCTGATGATACTACCCTCATCTACTCTAACCCCAGCCCACATACACTAAATAATGTTGTTAATAATGAACTAAATAAAAGTCCACTTATGGTTGTTTGTTCTTAAAGATTCGCTACTTGGAACAAACAGTTCCACGTAGCACGGGCTATGGTGAGCCCGTGCTAAATTACTACCTAATTGAGTTAATTAATTAAGATGATTGATTGATGAAGATTAAGATGCCCAAAAGGTGGCACGGGCATGAATAGCCCGTAAGTTGTGGCCTTTTTAAGCCATTACCAGTATCAAGAGCTGATACTGGAGATCTGTGGAGATGCGAATGCACCCTGCATGACGGGAGATGTCTCCCTTGTGAATGTGTTAAGATGAAGATGAAGCCACCGAAAAGGTGTCACGGGCATGAATAGCTCGTAAGTGGTGGCTCTTTTGAGCCATCACCAGTATCAATAGATGATACTGGAGAGCTGTGGAGGTGCGACTGCACCCTGCGTGACGGGAGATGTCTCCCGTGTAATTAATTAGGTAGTACTTAATTTTTATCTTAAACTGGTTGGGAAAGGTGCAGTCTTTAACATAATTGGGAAGGTCATTCCACATTCGAGGTCCCTTGATTTGTAAAGCATTTCTAGTTTGACTAGGTCGTATTCTTGGAATATCAAATAGGTATTTGTTTCTGGTGTGGTGCTCATGGGATCTGTTACAACCTTCCAGGAAGCTTTTAAGGTCAGGATTGACATTACAGTTCAGCGTTTTATATATATAAAATACACATGAGAGGATGTGCAGTGACTTAATATCTAACATATTCAGAGATTTGAGTAAGGGTACCGAGAGATGTCTGGGCTCAGAGTTAGATATTGTCCTAATAGCAGCTTAGTGTTGAGTAATTAGAGGACGTAAATGATTTTGGTTAGTAGAACCCCAAGCACAAATACCATAGTTGAGATAAGGATAGATGAGAGAGTAATAGAGTGTCACCAGGGCAGGGTAAGGTACATAATATCTGATCTTAGGAAGAATGCCAACAGTTTTTGAAACTTTTTTTGTTATATTTAGAATGTGTATAATACCATATAATAATGATTGTATAAAGAATACCATCCACAGAGTCAGGGGGTAATTGAGCGGTTCCATCAAACGCTCAAGCAGATGTTGAAGACATCGTGCGAGAATTCCCACAACTTCTGGGATGAGAACCTGCCTTGTGGTTTGTTTGCTGCTGGAGAGGGATTACAAAGTTCACTGGGTTGTTCTCCTTTTGAGTTAGTCTTTGGCCATAAAGTTCGTGGACCCTTGCAAATGTTACAGGAGAATCTGTTAGGGAACGTAACGGTGACAAAAGGTTCGGCTTTCTCTGCGCAACACCACCAGAGACTCAGGGACTGCAAGGCGGCTGCACTAAAGTATCTTGGGAAGGCCCAAAACAATATGAAAGAACGACACAATGCTAAGGCTAAGTTGCGGGTATTTCAACCTGGTTACTCTGTCCTGGCATTAAAGCCTCGACTAGGGAACGATATGTCTCACAAGTACGAAGGCCCCTGTATTGTGACAAAAAAGGTTGGGGACCTCACGTACAAAGTAAGGCACTCTGACAAGCGTAACCAGGTGATGCTTGTACACTTGAACCGTCTGAAGAAGTTCCAGGGCCCCAGGCCCGTCACACTAACTAATGTTTCCTTTTCCAGTGAGAGAGGGGATGTTTGTTCTGGGGACCCAACTAATCTCATTCTCAATAATTCTAGTTCTGTGAATGCTGTGGAGGAGGGACTGTCCCATTTGCAGATGGCCCAACGTGAAGAGGTTCAGTCGTTACTTGACAAATTCTCCAGTCTGTTCGGGGAGGTCCCGACTCAGATTGATGCCATCTACCATGATGTCAAGTTGACGGTCTACACCCCCATTCGTCTTCAACCCTATCGGATGAGTCCAGAAAAAAAGGCCAACGTGAAGAACGAAGTCGACTTCCTGCACCAGCACGGCCGAGCCAGGACCTAGATTCAGGAAGCTCTGTGTATTTCTTCGTAAGTGGGTTTGCTACGAAGGTTCCTAAGTGCGCCCTAAGAAGATGCTTAGGTGCTATTCAATAAGGTATACTTAGGAAGAAAAATTGTTGGTTCACCTGCGTGCCGATAGAGGTCACTACTGTGTTTCGTTTGGCCAATCAGAGAGCAGCAACATTCTTCATATTGAAGATTTAGCGCTGGCTTATCGCAGCTCTACTGCCTCCTATTTACGTCGAATTTTCTTATAAAATTAGTATATTTCGAAGTAAAACAATGTTTTTTCAACTTCTACAGCCAGCACCGACATTGTAGTAAACAAATATGTTACATTTGTTGTTTACCTACGTAATTCTAAGAGATACTGTGTAGCTGTCCTTGTTGCTCGGAAGATGCGCTGACAATTATTGTATATATTTACTGAATTTACCCAAGGGCCACTAACTATCTAGTGACCTCGAAGAGGACAGAAAGCCGGCGGCTTGTTGAAGGGCCCGCCAATTGTCTTAATTATATTTTTTAGCTGGAATTTGGCATTTACGGCTTCAGCGGGTAGACGGTTCCATGGGTTTATAGCCCTCTTGGTGGAAAAAACATCTGTTTTCAGTCCTACTTGAGAGAACATACTCTCCAACACTATATCTGTGATTGTCCTGTTATCAGTGACTTCATACCAAATGGTATGAGGTATTTTGAGCTCTGTAATTACTTCATACACTCAGGAATATTGGAAGATATTCTTGTGCTGCACCCAGATTTTGCCAGTGGAGGCTAATAGATCAGCATTAAGTATTTTGTTCTCTCCTAATTCCATGTATGACTGGCCATCCTGTGAGGTGAGCTTGTAGCTGGTTTTTGATCTACACTGTGTGGTCCTTTAGACAGAATAGGGAAGCAGCACATTGCTGTGTATACCTAAATATGTTTAAAAATACATTGTTTGAGAGGAGTTTTGTAGAAACTGGTAAGAGTAATTATAATATAATGTTTCCATGATTCAGTGCTTACCTCTTGTGAAAATTGCTTAGAGTTGTTTAGTCAGAGTTGATTTGTTTTTTGTATTGAGGCTGGTATTTTCTAAATTGATTCCATGTACAGTATGTCTAACCATCCTGTGAGATGGGAGTATTAGATAAACTTATAGCTAGTTTTTTATCTACACTGTAATATTCCATATAGAATAGGGTAGCAGCACATTGCTGTGTATACCTAATCTTCTTAATAAAAAAAATCAGTAATAAAGATTTTAAATTATAGTTTGTATTATTACAAATACAGTACTGTATTATCCTTATTAAATCATGTTGACCATGGATCATTAAGATCTCATGTTGATATGTAATACAAGTCATATTTCTTTTGAACTGCTAATCCATGTTAATCATTCATTAAATTGTGTATTATGTCTCAATTTTTCACTTCCTTGGATATACTGTACAGTACAAAAAGATAGGATAAAAATAAACCAGTAATATTTCTTTCATTATATTTTTCATTTAAATAACTGCATCAATATTTTTACAGCTGACAGGATTTGTTTTACCATACAGGTGCATTATTTGTTAAAAAAATTTGGTTTATTGTTACACGCAATGGTGCTACATAGCCTTCCCAGCTTGGTGCCTTCTTTTAATACTTACTGATTAAAAAATAAATAATAAATACATTTTATTCAGGAAAAGTACATACAGTTGATTTACAAACATAATGTTGGATTTATAGACAGAGCTAGTACATACAATACCTAAAGCCACTAATACTCATAGCATTTCGGGCAAGGTGTGGGGGAAAAAACACAGACTAAAACTTAGTAATCGGGATTAGGTATAAATTGTGTTGAAAGAAGGAATAAAAAATACAAAAAGGGGGGTTAGCATAGCATAACTCAGCAATTGCACATGTTGGTGAACAGCGTTGTTTAAAAAATAGCAAGACATGGGTTGACATTTAGGAGGTAAGTTAGGTTACATGGAGTTAATTAGGCAGTACTTGGTTTAACTCTTAAACTGGTTGAGAGAGGTACAGCCTTTGACATGATTCGGGAGGTCATTCCACATTCTGGGTCCCTTGATTTGTAGAGCACTTCTAGTTTGGTTACACACAGCCAAATTGAGTAACAGGAAGAGGTCTTGGACACAAATTTGTTCCATGCTAAATGTAGAGGAATCAGCTGAGTATTCCTCAAATAAAATAAGTTGCCTCAGCTTATAAGGTAAATAAAATAAGCATTTCTCAAATAAGTAGCTGCCTCACCTCACTGCCTTACTGCTACATAGCCTTCCCGGCATGGTGCCTTCTTTTGATAATTACTTGTTCCACACCCAAATTGTATAACAGGAAGAGGTTTTGGACCCCTACTTCCCTCTCTCTTTTTTAATAATCTACAGTATATAGTCATAATTATAGCTTTAAGTATTCAATGAATAAAGTTTGTGACATTTTTACCCTTCTCCTTACCTAACATCATTTGTGCAGCATATTTTTATTTTATGTCTCACCCAGATTTAATTTCAAAATAAAACCAAACTAAATAAATTAGAAATGGGTATGTATAGCTAAGGTACACCCTTACTACTAGGTGAACAGGGGCATTTGGTGATAGTAAATGATCCCATCAGGCAGGGCTCATCACCTTCTCTCATATTTCATGTTCACCAGTGTTTATTTACTTAATAACTACTGGTATAATATCTTGCTATTATAAAAGTAATTCTACTATCATCAAACACATATTTACTTCAAGTTTCAAGCAGAGAATGCATATATAACTAACACGAAGGATTCCTCTTCACTAGATTCACCAGCTATAATGTTTTGGTCATGTTCCAATATCATAAATCGATCCCAGTGTTATGTAGTAGAGAAAAAATGACTTATATCCAGTTTACGTAAAGCTACGAGTGGTCGAAACCACACTTAAATCCCGGAATGAACTTACGAAGGTTTTTCCACTTAGGGTACCTACTTGAATACGGACCTAGCCGCCACGAAGGCGCTAAGAAGGAATTCGCTCTTAGCTAAGAGGAAAAACCTTCGTAAGTACCTTCCTGAATCCGGCCCCTGCTGGGCTCTTGGTGCTCGCCTTGCCTTTTGGTCCCCAAACCAAACGGCTCCTGGCGATTATGCACCGACTATCGGCAGCTCAACAAGGTGACCATTGTGGATGCCTATCCGCTTCGATGTTAAGGACGGGCTGGAGCATAGCCTGAGGACGGGCTGGAGCATAGCCTGAGGACGGGCTGGAGCATTGCCTGAGGACGGGCTGGAGTATAGCCTGAGGACGGGCTGGAGCATAGCCTGAGGACGGGCTGGAGCATAGCCTGAGGACGGGCTGGAGCATACCCTGAGGACGGGCTGGAGCATAACCTCAGGACGGGCTGGAGCATAACCTCAGGACGGGCTGGAGCATACCCTGAGGACGGGCTGGAGCATAGCCTGAGGACGGGCTGGAGCATACCCTGAGGACGGGCTGGAGCATACCCTGAGGACGGGCTGGAGCATAACCTCAGGACGGGCTGGAGCATAGCCTGAGGATGGGCTGGAGCATAGCCTGAGGACGGGCTGGAGCATACCCTGAGGACGGGCTGGAGCATAACCTCAGGACGGGCTAGAGCATAGCCTGAGGACGGGCTGGAGCATAAACTCAGGACGGGCTGGAGCATAGCCTGAGGACGGGCTGGAGCATAGCCTGAGGACGGGCTGGAGCATACCCTGAGGACGTGATGCCTCAATGCGCCGTGTTTATGATCCATCACGACGTGTTTTTCTACTCCAAGTGAGCGTTCGAGTCAAATTCGTGGCCAAGGGGGCAGTGCTCAGTCATGCTCGTACTGCGTCATGGAGACTTTAGAGGATCACAGCTTCTGATGCGGATGAATCTTGATCAGTGTTGCCAGATTGGGCTACAAATAGCGAATTGGGCTACTTTTGAGAGCCCCTCGCTCCCAAATTTTTTATTTCGCTACTTGCTACTTTTTGGGCTAATTTAAAAGCAAGATGTGCTAATTTTGGGCTATTAAAGTTGATAGTGTTCTCTTCTGCCGACAGATGGCATCAGCTGTGTTATTATTACTTCCGAATTTCCTTTTAAACACTGATCTACAAATCCCTTGGCTTATGATAAGGTTTTATGCCATTTATGATAAGTATTAGATAACTGGAGTTCCGCAATTACTTTTATTTTCAACTATTCAGGATATCATCATATAACATCTGGTTAGGATGTACTGCTCTCGATTGATGAAGATTAAGCCACCCAAGAGGTGGCACGGGAATGAATAGCCCGTAAATACTGCTTTCGTAATATTATTCAGGGGGGTGGGGGAACTATCAAGTGAAAGCGCCAAGCCATTACGACTATATAACACTCGGAAGGGGTCAGGATACGGATTTGGGATGAAACGGGGGAAAGGAATGGTGACCAACCTCTTGGGCGTTCGGGGATTGAACGCGGACCTGTAGGAAACGAGACCGTCGCTCTACCGTCCAACCCAAGTGGTTATAAGCGTAATATTATTAAAACAACAATTTATGCATATAATAACAGCATTTCACACTAAAAATACTTGGATATATTGAAATTTGGTAGTGAATTCCAATCTAGGAATCTCCTATGACTAAACTGTACTCTTTAATCATTTTGTTGTACTTACTACTTATTATTAAATTATTAAGTACTTACTATAATAATTAAATAAATTATTTTATTTAATATATAAATTAAATGAAAAAATAATAGGTAATAATAAATCATTGTGTAGGGGGACAGGCAGCCAGTGTATATATACATGTTAGGCTTATACCAAGGTGCCACAAAGGTGCCAAATTAAAGACTGGGAGCTGCCGGGGCGGTCCCAAGGGCTGCTGGCGGCCCTGGCCAGGCTGAACTTCCGCGCCCTTATAATCACCATTGTTTAATAATCTTCTCAGGGAGAAACAACTGTAAATATAGGAGTAGTTTACTACAACATACACGGTAAAGAAAACAGCTCGGAAACTTAGGAAATAAAGCTGCCGAAAAAACATTAAAGTTCACTTCAAGTTCAAGTATGTTTATTGAGACAATAAAAAAATACATCTCAAAGGGATAGAGTAGCTTAGGCTATTTCTACCTCCCTCTAGTTCAAGTCCCTCAAGGGGACTTGAACTATAGGAAGCACAGGAAGCACAATAGGGAAGAAATAGGAAGCACAGCATATAAGTGTTACAAGTTACAAGGGAACAAGTGATATATATATATATATATATATATATATATATATATATATATATATATATATATATATATATATATATATATATATATATATATATTATCAGATATTTGTCTGATAATGCAATAGTGTGTGGAATGTATTGATATGAGTACGCGATCATGGTCAGGAGTCAGTGTAGCCAGGGTGTGGGGCGAGGAGTGACGTGTGTATCTGGCCTCCACAACACCTGCTGATCACTCAGTCTGGTCGGTATTGTTGAGAAGAATGGTGGTGTCTCACTAACAACTTGGTTTTGTTCACTTTATGGCAGTGTCATTGTCGTAGTATCTCACTATTAATGACAATAGCAGTCCCCGTGGCGCAGCACGTGGTAAGACCCACTTTGCAAGCGATTTTGCCTCGGTTTGTATCCTGGCCGGGGAGGATTGACTAGGCGCCACTCCTTAACTGTACGCCTCTATTCATCTAGCAGTGAATGGGTACCTGGTTCTTAAACGATTTGGCGGGTCGTATTCCACAAAAAAATAGGATTAAGGATCTGCCCAAAACGCTATGCGTGCTAGTGGCTTGACAAGAATGTAATAGCTGAATCATCGCTGTAATTCAGCCATCATCGCTCAATGAGTGGTAGTCTAAATCACTACTTCCTTGTCTGGTTGAGGACACTAGCTACAGTCTCTCGATAGTTTTTTCTTCAGTAACTGTTCCCAGGTCAACGCTTATCTGTTTACATTTTATTTATGGATTTATAAGAAGATTCAATGGGTTGTGAAATTATATATGTTGGTAATTATGTGGTACATTATTGCAAAGCAACTAACACACATAGCGTTTCGGACAGGTCCTAAAGCTAACGCAGAATTTGCAATAAATTTACAATTAGAAGAAGAAGCCTGTGGCCCATAAGCCCATATGACATCTGAACGCATGGTACGGTAGTCAGTTACTCCCACGCCCCATGATGTTAGAGGACCCATACTGCATGAGGACTGTTCATGAGAGATCTATTGGCAGAGTGGATAATTACACTACCTCGCTGGTAAGGCCTCAGATTCAAATCCCTTTTAAAATTATTTGTATAATAAAATAATTTGTGCATACAAATTTGAAGGCCCTGCTTGAAGCAATCCATCTTGATTAACAAATAAATGTAATGACAGGTATATAATGGCAATCTGATTTACCTGAGGGCCACTAACCCTAGTGGCCTCGACGAGGACAGGAAGCCGGCGGCTTGTCGAAAGTACCTCCATTTGCTTTGATGATCTTTTTCATGTATATTTTGAAACTCAGCAGTAATGGAAGTTACGGATTCGGCGGGTAGCCAGTTCCATGGGTTAATAACCTTATGGGTGAAAAAGCATCTGTTTTCAGTCCTACATTGTGGCTTGTGGAGCTTGAAACACTTGCTCCTTGTTTGTGTTACATCTGACCTTCTGAAGAAAATATTCGGATCAACATTCTCTAACTTGCTCAGTATTTTTAAAGTTTCGATTAGATATGCCCTGTCATGCCTGGTTAGCTGTTGTCAACCCTGTGGCCTTCAAGCGTTCCTGATACTGGAGATTCTCTATGAGCTTGCAGATGTGTGATGTCAAGCTGATCGGCCGGTAGTTTTCAGCTTAGCTCTTTCTGCCTTTTATTTTAAATAAGGGTAACAATTGCATATTTCCACTCTAGGGGGGACTACCCCTTGGTCATGGGATTTTGTGAAAAAATAGTTTCAGCGATAGGCATAGTTCTTCTACCAGTTCCTTTAGGACTTTGGATTAGACTCCATCCACACCTGGGGGCTTTTAGGTCTTTTAGTTTATGAATGTTATTTGTAATTATTTCTCATGTTATGGGTATATCCCTAAATTCATTCTCCTCCCCTCCTTCAAACATTTATGTAGGTGATGGGATGTCATTCTACCTTTCGAGTGTGAACACTGATGAAAAATAATCATTTAGAGTGTTTGCTGTCCTTTTATCATCCATTATAGCTTGGTTTGTCTGATGTATTAAGGGTCCAACTGAGTCCTTTGTTTTGGTTCTACCTCTTGTATAGGTATAGAGCGATTTTGGCTCTTTCTGTTTTGGGCAATTTTTCTTTCGTAGTTACTTTTACTGATCAGATTTTTTGAGTAGCCGAGTTTTATTATGAAACTCTATTACTGAAGTTTTAGTTGTAAATTTAATTACTTAAGTTTTACTTGTAATTTTAATGTAAGTTTTCTGCAAATTTACTATAAATATTATAAAGGGGCAAATATTATAATTAGTAATTATTTATAATATTTACTTCTTTATCTAATTTTAATTTAATTACAGTGCCCCTCTTTATAATATTTACCATTTTTTATATTACTACATACTATGAATTTATAAGAATTTATTATTATTAAAAGTACCCATACCCCATAAAATACCCCATTCCTTTAAAGCTCAGAAAATCATAATAGTGAAATTTAAGTAAGAGATAGTTATGGTTTAAAGTATCAAAGATCTCCTATCCTCCTATCCTCCCATCCCCACATTCCACCCTTCTTCTTCCATCTGCCCCTTCATCCCTCTCAGTACCCACTGCTTCCCCTCTCTCTTTTTTTAACAGGCCATAATACTCCATTTAGTCATAATTATAAGCCTGTATTCAACGACAAAAGTTTTTGAAGTTTTTACCCTTACCTAACATCATTTGTGCAGCATATTTTTCTTTATGTCTCACAAAGATTTATAATTTATAATATACATTATATATCCTAATGTGTATGAATACATTCAGGCTGCACAATGAATTATTATTATAATCTATCTACTGTGCCTTTGCTTGTCTGTTCTACTGTGCCTTTGCTTGTCTGTGTCTCTCTGTCTCTCCGTTTTTTGTCTCTTTCTATCTGTTCCTACGTCTGTCTGTGTCTGTTTTTCGTGTTTGCCTCTGTCTTGGCCTCAGTCTCTGTCTATTTCTCAACCTTATAACAAATGAAATTGTCTAATGTGCGGGGGGTTGCTTGTGAGAGAAGCCTGGAGAGGCCTGTGTAGTATCTGACCTACAGAGATCTGGCCTACAGAGCTGAACCCTCAATGTCGAGCGAGGATTCTCTATATCAATATACAACTACCTGAGTATATAAGGGGGATGGGGGAACCAGGAGGTAAACTCCGCCTATCAGAGATAGCCCCCGGCTATTTTATTACAGTATCACACTCAGCGGGTTATCTGATGGAGAGACACAACCACCGATTGCAGTTATCAACTTGGCACAAGGCAAGGTCACCTGATATGGTCTGACCTCGCCCAAGCTATGAACATTGGCGCCTCAAAAGGTGTGACTTTTATTAGCCAGGAGCTAGACCGCCAAGCCACACAATTTCCTGTTCGAACTCACTCTACATTTATAGAGAATTTATTAAATAAACACATTTGTGATGTTACAACTGGAAATTTTTGTTAAATTTTCCGAGATCAGCGAAGCCGGCGGACAGCGGCCAAGATGGTAAGACACTCTCTGTAAAGAGAGAGAGAGAGAGAGAGAGAGAGAGAGAGAGAGAGAGAGAGAGAGAGAGAGAGAGAGAGAGAGAGAGAGAGAGAGAGAGAGAGAGAGAGAGAGAGAGAGAGAGAGAGAGAGAGAGAGAGAGAGAGAGTGTCTTACTAAAGGGATACTTAGGTCATAGCTCTGGCCATAGCACTAATACATCAGGATAGAGTGATCCCAAGCCATAAAGTGGTGATCTCAAGGAAACAAAAACATTTACACAATATCAGTCTTGCCCAAATTATTTGAAAAACTAATGTACAAACAGCTTAACTCCTACCTAGCAAACCATAATATACTTATGTCTTGCCAATATGCATCAGACCGCAAAAAGAATTAACAACGCTCTGGTTAATATAGATGACGTGATACATGCAGGTCTTGAGAGAAAGAAGAACCCCATAGGTTCATTTGTTGATCTGCTTAAGGCTTTACATAGCGATAGTGATTTTCTCCTCCTGCAACACTATGGGGATCAGGCGTCACTCCATTCAATTCTTTCAATCTTACCTCCAGTCTCCAGTATGTGACAGTCTCCAGTATATGACAGTCTCCAGTATGTGACAGTCTCCAGTATGTGAGAGTCTCCAGTATGTGTTCACAATGTTGCCCAATTCAGCCTCCCAGTTGATGTTAGCAGCAACAGCAATAAAGTTGCTTATAGAAGTTTCATTGTGCAGCCTAAAGCTTATCTTCATTGTATCTAGAGGTGGTTTATTAATGTTGGTTAGAAGAAATGTGGGGTAATGGTTTGTGATCCTATCGGTGATTATCCCTGAAGTAAGTGAAGAGGTTATGTTAGTCCAGATGTGGTCAAGAGCAGAGGCGGTCGTGTCAGTGATTCTAGTAGGTTTAGTGACTGAGGGTATGAGCAAGCAGGAATTCAAACAGTTGAGGAAATTAACAGCTTGAGGGGTATCAGGCTCGTAGAGGTGAATATTAAAATCCCCTGAGATTATTAGTTGGTGTTTGTTAACAAGTTAATACTTGTTTGTTAATACACTTCCTATCTTAACTGTTAAAGCATTTTCATTTACCTTAGAAGGAAGACATTTTGTGAAGATGTTTCCAAACCTATCCCAGCCCATATTTTGCAGGGAATATGAGACTGATTTCAACAGTGATTGGTAGTAGGGTCATCACATCCAATAAACCACAATTGTAATATCCAACACGATCTCGCCAATGCTATAACAAGTGGCATGGAAGTGATGTGCTTGTGCTCAGAGTAGCTTCACATACATTACTGAATCTTGCCTGAACATTTCCTCAGATGAAGTTGGCGCCGTTGTGGGTGTTGATGGCGGCTGTGGCGGGGGTCGCCGCGGGGGAGTTGGCGCCCCCTGAGAGGGCCTACAAGATCCTCATGCTCCTCCCCGTCTCCTCCAGGAGCCACAGGAACGTCTTCATGCCTCTCGCTGAGGCTCTGGCCGACCGTGGACACGAGGTAAGATATCAATCGTTTGGTTTGTGTAATTCTGACTGAAATTAAGGAAGATATTTGAGAAGGATATTTTAATTTGAAATTGTTAAATTGTTACTTTCTCCTAACCTAACCATAAGACTCGCTCTCATCCTTTATCCAGATAGTGATGTTGACCAACCAACCGAAGTCATCCAAACATCCAAACATCCACGAGTTTAGCCACGACCTGCCTCACTTCAGAGTGGGAGAGGTAAACATGTTTGACTATCGCAGTGATCCAACCGGTGGGCTTACGGAATTCGAGGTTGTTCTTCCATTAATGGCCAGGGATATATACAAAGTCCCTGTGGTGAAGGATCTCTATGAGAGGAGAAAGGAGTTTGATCTCATCATAGTGGATCATGCGTTCAACGAGGTGAGTTTATCTGAATAAACTGACGTATTGTGTCTTACAGAAAAGGTGCTTTAATTGTCTTTGGTGAACTGAATACGCGAGTCACTCATCATCTACTCCTAAACTCGTGTCTGGTCCTTAATGATCACTTCTCAAGTACGGTTAGTTGTTGGCTATAATAGCCACGGATATACATGATCAGGACTTCCATGATGTCATCTTTTGGCCTCACTCTTTGCGACGTCATTCCTTTACAAGAGGAGAGTGAACTTTACTTGCTGATGATATTTCACCAGTATGCCCTTTATCATCTATAAATAAAGTTTACTTTCTTTTTCGTTTTTCTGTATAATTGGCAGCACGTTATGTTCTTTTCAGCCACGTTATAGTTTCCTCAGTGGGAGATGTAGTTAGTTTCCTCACGGAACTTCCGTCAAGGTGCGTCTGTCTTGGTACTATTGTCATGCGCTGCACATCCCCCCTCTGTAACTCAGCAAGTGAGGGACTCCAGTACCATGCCGGAGCACACCAAGCTTGGCGAGCGTGTCCCGCGCGCACTGGAGTATGGTGGAGAGGTCTGTGGTGAGCCTCTGACTGAAGGTCGCACCTCTTGTCCTCTTGGGACCCCGACACCGTTGCACGTCACTTGCAACTCTCATACAGTGGGATGCACGAGCTCCCTTATTCAAAGTACTCATTGTAGAACACAAGAAGTTTCACAAATTCGATTCTCTTAGTTCAGCCACCGATAATTATGGAAGATTAGGCCTTCCTGACGTAGCATAGTAACTTCTAGCCTCACCCACATAAATTAGTTCCCCGCAGTGTTGATGGTGTACACAATGTGTAAAAAATCAGCACAAACAATATTAGTCAAGAAGAGTCAGAGAACAGAGTACAGAAACTCAAAGTTTCGCAAAAAGAGAACATTTAGTAAACAATAGCACTCGGCATAATATATTTAATGTTCCATAGCCCCGGATCTGTCTCTTGGATTGTAAATTGCAAACTCCTTTACTAATTTTAATTTTGCCCCGAGCCACGTTTTATTGAAAATATATTCATATATTTTTGTTTTTTATTCTGGTACTACATCGTTGAGTAGAAAACTGGAGATCTGTTCTTTGCCATCAATTGATCAATTATTCGTAATGACAGTGCAGAGTTATGCACCAAATAAGATTACTAATGTGATTTAACAACCAGTAAAGAAGTTGTTAAACATATTTGACATAACCTGACTGAAACCAAGCGTCATAAACACTCATCCACAGCCGGGTGAGCCATGCAGGTATATATGAGCGATCATTTATTTATTCACGCACGGGAGACATCTCCCGTCACGCAGGGTGCAGTCGCACCTCCACAGATCTCCAGTATCATCTATTGATACTGGAAATGGCTCAAAAGGGCCACCACTTATGGGCTATTCATGCCCAAGCCACCTTTTGGGTGGCTTAATCTTCTCTCTCTTTATTCACGTCTTCAGACAAAGATGAGCCTTAACATTACTTTCCCTGCAGGTAGTATATCCGTTCCTGCACGAGGCCATCTTCATCATGCTCACCACGCCAGGACTGGACTACCGCCAGAGCGCCGTCCTGGGCAATGTTCTTCACCCGGCCTACGTTCCGAACCATAAGTCGGATTTTCCACAGCCAATTTCCCTTTGGCACCGCTTTCTCAACACCATGATACATATAGCGATTGCGGTATACTGGCGGAAATGGACAATCGTTCCTCTGACACAGAAGGAGGTAAGTGGGATCTGTGATTACCCATTTTTTCCTTGATGATGATCTTACTGTAGTATGTACCTAAAATACCTGTGAAGTGTCTAATATTAGATATTTTATATTTAAGGTAGACTATGCTTAAAATATAATATTGTTTGGTATATTGGAAAGCGATTTGTTTAAGATTTTTATTGTACCGTATGATAATTAAATCCAAATGTATCTGAGTAACTCCCCAACTCCATATGGGAATGCCTGACCTGTCTGTAGTAAAGAACTTGTGATATTCCTCAGATCTCTGCGCAGTTCCCGGAGCTGCCGCCGCTGTTGGACTTGGAGAGGAACATGAGTCTGGCGCTGATGAACACCCACTTTAGTATTGGTATACCACTGCCCCTCCTGCCTTCACAGGTGGAGGTGGGCGGCATGCACTGTCGACCCGCCAGACCTCTGCCCCAGGTGAGTTGTCCTGCCTTCACAGGTGGAGGTGGGCGGCATGCACTGTCGACCCGCCAGCCCTCTGCCCCAGGTGAGTTGTCCTGCTCTCACAGGTGGAGGTGGGCGGCATGCACTGTCGACCTGCCAGTCCTCTGCCAAAGGTTAGTGTCCTGACCCTTTGATATAGGCTAGTTATTATGTGTCTGATTATGCCAGTTTTCTGGGTATATAACTTTACAAAGGTTACTTTACCTTTTCCCTCTGTTCTCAAAGATTCAGGTAGGAGCCTTGTAAACCATATGCCTTAGAGTTCTCCTGTCTCCAAGCTTAAGGTCAGCTTTATTACTACTCACAGTTCTGGTTTCAGGCCTCCTGGCCCAAGTCAGTTGCCTTATTCGTTTCCTAGTTCAGCTGCAATACTAGCAGACTAGTCAGGTGCCAGGGGTCCTAAATCAAGGGCTCTTGTTCTGACCTTTGACCCAGATAAGATGAACATCTCCCTGACCCTAGCTAGTTGGGTCCTGTTGCATGTTATATTACACAATTAAATGTAAGCATTATATTATCCGGTACAGAAAGTTAAGATCTGGAAAAAATATTTTAACCTGTAGTGTAAAACAAGGGTTGTATAAAGTTGTATCGTCACTAATCGGTGCTTTACAGGAGTTAGAGTCGTGGATCTCAGGGGCGGGAGCTGCCGGCGTCATCTACTTCAACTTGGGTACTGTCGCTCGAGGCACACATTTACCAGTCCAGTACCGAGACCTTTTGATTCAGGTCTTCCGCAGACTGCCGCAGCGCGTCCTCTGGAAATATGAGGAAGAGTTGGAGAACCTTCCTGATAACATGATGATCAGAAAGTGGCTTCCCCAACAGGACATTCTCGGTGAGTATTAGCCTCTGTCCACTAACAGTGTACTCCAGCCCACGTTGTGTATGTACGCCCTGTGTACCATAACCACCAATTGTACCTCACCACGTTTACTATAGCCCACCCTCTGTATCATAGCCTACCCTGTGTACCGTAACCCACCCTGTGTACCGCAGCCCACCACAACGTGAAGGTGTTCATCACGCACTGTGGTCTCTTGGGCCTGCAGGAGGCCATCTACCACGCCACGCCCCTCCTCGCCCTCCCCATCTTCGTCGACCAGCACAGGAACGGCATGTTTGTGAAGAAATCTGAACTGGGACACACTTTGGTATGGGAGGAGCTCAGTGAAGACATGATCTACGATGCTCTCACCGATATTATTTACAACCCTAAGTAATAATTTTTGTAATTTTATTTGCTGGACACACATATATTATTAATATATTGTGCAACACATTAGGGTGATCAGAGCGGTTAATTCTTATAACAGAACTAATTACTCTCCGAGACAGATGAATCTCATCTTAGAACTACATATATTTTTCCGAACTGTTGTTACAATACTAGTACAAACATTTTTCATGCATGGACCAGTTTTTTATAAGCTTAATTATATTAGTGTGATAAAATAGTTTATCTGAATGATGGCTCAAGAGAATGGGCATATTTTTTTACCTATCAATCAATTAATCAACCAACCAATAACATTCCTCTACTCTTGTGTTAACCTACAACCTACAGCCAGCATCTCACAACCCCATTAGGTACATTCCCACCACCAATTCTTCAAAACGTAATCTCCCATCATGAAGCCTATGAGTACTAAATATAAATGCAGAAAACATCAGTAATAAGGCAAATTCATTATAGGAGACGCTGGAAGATACAACACATTCATTAAAACATTTATGGAAACGAAAAAAGTGTCAGTGACATTGGATGTAACATACGTAGATGGATTTCCAGTAACATAAAGGGACACACCAGTCAGAGGTGGACGAGTAGAACTGTTATGTAGTAATGATGGTATAAAGAGTACAAAGCTAACGAAAACCATATCAAAGGCAGTGTTTCCGCAGGAATACTATGTAGTTAGGAAAGGGGGAAGGAAGAGGTAGAGGTGGAGTATCTCTGTTGATAAGAAAAGACTGGAGTTTTGAAGAGATGGTTATCCAGGGTTGTGAAAGTTTTAGTAACTACATAACAGGTAACATAGCAATTGGGGGCAAAAAACGTATAGTAGTAGTTATATATAACCCACCACCAAATGACAGAAGACCCAGACAGGAATATGATGGAAACAACATGGCTATTATTAATATAATAGAGAGAGCAGCTTCTGTCGCTAGCAGGAACGGGTCCAGACTGCTAATCACAGGAGATTTCAACCATGGGGAGATAGATTGGGAGAACAGAGACCCACATGGAGGACCAGACACATGGAGAGCTAAGCTGCTGGACGTGGCAACAAGAAACTTTCTAAGCCAACACATCATGGGATCGACAAGACTAAGAAAAGACGAACCAGCAATGCTTGATCTGATATTCACCCTTAATGGGTCGGATATAAGGGAAGTTAAGTTGGAAGCCCCCTTGGGAATGAGTGATCAGTGTACTGATATTTGAGTACCAGGTAGAGCTAGGAGTAATCTCCCTAGGAGTAAAAAATTCAGTTGATTGATTGACAGTTGAAAGGCGGGCCGAAAGAGCCAGAGTTCAAACCCCCTCAAGCACAACTAGGTGAATACACACACACACACAACGCCAGAATTTTGTTATTACATATTCTGGGCGATCAATTCAACATATAATCGTTTCTTGCTCATCCGTTATTTGTTCTATCAATAGAGATACAACAGCCACTTGCCTGTGCAGCCACAGCCATGTTCCTTAAATAGTTGTCCTTCTGTAAAAGGAATACAAATATTAAGAAAGTATATTTCAATTAAACAAGAAATTAAATGTATTTTACCTTCTTTTGTACCAGGAACAACTAAAACTACAAATTCCCAGATGGTAATGTTAGTTTTATTTCCGTCTTTCATCCTTGGTGGTCAGGTATAAAGAAAACGTGATGAGGATGTCAGCGGGGATGAGGGACCAGCAGACGTCGCCCAGGGAGCTGGCGGTGTTCTGGACGGAGTACGTCATCCGCCACCGTGGGGCGCCCCAGCTGAGGTCCCCGGCGGCACAGCTCTCCTGGGTGGAGTTCCTCATGCTCGACGTCCTGCTCCTCCTCCTCCTGGCTCTCTTCCTTCTCGTCTTCATCCTACGTCGCATCTTCCGGGTCATCGCTGCTAAATTATTCAGTGATAGTAAAAAAAAGAAGGAATAGCAGTGCATTTAAGAGACTCCAGAAAGCGAGATTTCCAAAATTCTGTCAATAAAAAGCTATTAAATTCCGTTGCCGTTTCTAAACCTGTTGCAGGTGTATAACCATTTTTTGAATGAATGTAATTATTGTTTAGATCCAAGGATGTTAGGGTATTGATCAAGCATTGGTTAGAGTATGATATTTTCCTTTTAACTCCGTCTAATAATATCAGCCTCACCTGATTACTGGTCCACGTGCTAACCCACCTGGCTTACTGGTCGACCTGGTCTGAGTCCCGCGTCTTCTCTAGTGACTTAGTCACTATTGAATAAATTGGACTGAAGGGAAGGCTACTTATTTTGCTAATTAATTATAATACTAAAGCAAGGGTAATATTGACATTAACCTCTGTATATTTAAGAACAGACTAATGAATCGCTGGAGGATGAATAAAAAAGAAGAGAGATGTGTTTGGAACTTTAAGATATATTTAGGACATGTAATAGGATACATCTGAGCTGACATTCCCAACACAATAATGAGAGAATTATAGAGATTACTGGAGAAGTGAAATGGGTTATTCATATGACAATAAATCTACACTCAGTGGTTAACACAATGATTTTATTGTGTAAGTCCCTTACAGGTTGGTTGACACCTCATCTCACGCCAGACGACACTGTTCTTCAGCAGTCTACCCCACACACTCTGTACCCCACACACACTGTACCCCACACACTCTGTACCCCACACACTCTGTACCCCACACACACACACAAGTACGCCCGGTAATTCACCTCGGCCTCCTCGATAATTTAATAATTATTCGTTGTGTCGGGAGACAGGCAGCCAGTGAATTTATACATGTAATGCTTATATCGAGGTCCCTCTCATGGTAGAGTTACTAACCCCACCCAGGATGCAACCTCACAACAAGCACATTAACCCCTGGGTACCTATTTGTTGCTAGGTGAATAGGCGTATTAGGTGATAGTAAAGGCGCCCAACCATTTTCTGAATTGAAATCTGGAATTTTTCATTGTGAGTCGACAACGAACCCGACTATACTACCGGGACCCTAATATATACATGTACTCACTGACATATGAGTAACCGCCGGCCCCTCGGGTGAAAGCGGGCTGTGACGATCTCGGTCCTACAGTAATGATAGATTCCAATAGATTAAAACATTCCTATTCCTTCTTCATTTTGTTAATGCCACTACCAAGTGCTTTAGCAGCGATGACCCTGAAGATGCGACGTAGGATGAAGACGAGAAGGAAGAGAGCCAGGTGGAGGAGGAGCAGGACGTCGAGCATGAGGAACTCCACCCAGGAGAGCTGTGCCGCCGGGGACCTCAGCTGGGGCGCCCCACGGTGGCGGATGACGTACTCCGTCCAGAACACCGCCCGGTCCCTGGGCGACGTCGGCTGGTCCCTCATCCCCGCTGACATCCTCATTGCATTTTCTTTATACCTGACCACCAGAAAAGTCAGAAAGAAAATTTAAAATAATATATCACAACCACACAAAAAAATGCATGATCATATATTTATGTTTATATAATTGTCGAAGAATGTAGGCATATGGATCTGTGAATTCTTGTGTCGTACCATCTTTTTATTTATCATAACTATTTAAAGAGTTTTCCATTGGTTTTGGCCCACACTGCCTCTTCTTGAAACACGTTAATTCCATCTACCTAATTTTATAAGAAGCTGATTTTACTGATTTTACGATAAAGTCTTTTCATAATTAATACTCTAACTTCTACTAAGAACTGATTTTTCAAAAATATTCCTTCTGTTATCAGAAATAACTGTTCCTTCTAAAATTATTATGTATTTCCTCTGGCTTTCAGTGCGGGCATTTCCAGCGCCTTCAGTTTCTATTTACAGTTAATATTGCGTTATTCTGTGATTCCTTTCTTGAATATTTTTACTTAAATATTTATTTAAGTGCAAACACCATTGTAGCAAGTATGTTAAGAAGTATTATACTTTCTCCACACTCTCATTAGTTCACTCTCTCAATTAGATGTTCCTGTTAATCTCACTTAATCTATCCTTAAGTTAGGAAGCTCTACACTAGTCCTATATGCGCTAATTACAAATAATTACTTGCCAATCAACTGTTGCTATTGTTATAAACAACCTCCTGGTGCTTCGGAGCTCATTAACTGTTTAATAATTGTAAACAGAGCTGTAAAGATTGAGAAAAGATGTACAAGTTCGTAAGTGTTCTGGATACTAGAACATGTTGGAGGGGTGAGAGGGAGAATTCTGACATGGATGAAAAATTTCCTAACTGACAGACAGATGAGAGCAGTAATCAAAGACAATGAATCTGACTGGAGGAGTGTTACTAGCGGAGTACCACAGGGTTCAGTTCTTGCACTATCTACCAATGATGATGAAATTACACAAATCAATTCACTTAAGCTCAAAATTAAATGTTGGATAACTTAACAATTACTGTAGTCAAAGATTCCTATGTGCCTTGAACAAATAATTTCGATATTTGAAAATATATAAATGATAACAAATATGAAAATAAATGCAGAAGCTCGCTTGTATATGAAGTATATGCTTTCTTCCTCAAGATAAATACCACAAAACACGAACGGAATATTGATTGCAACAAATGTATTTTACAGTTAATCTCTCTAATACATCAATACACAAAAATGTTTGAGAATTTACTCCAGTTGTTACCAACAAGAAATAATATTAGCAATCAATGACTAACTTCGGGTTGTTAATAATATCGGTGAGAGCGTCGACCACCAAGTCCACAGTGAGCTCCTCCCACTGCAGTAAGTGTCCCAGTCCAGATCTCTTCACAACCATAGCGTTCCTGGGCTGCTCGGAGAAGATGGGGAGGGCGAGGAGTGGCGTGGCGTGGTAGATGGCCTCCTGCAGGCCCAAGAGACCACAGTGGGTGATGAACACCTTCACGTTGTCGTGGCCTGCACAATGGTGAGAATATAATAGTTATGACTTGGGGAAATGAAATGATATTTACTGGTTAGAGAATATTATGTATCTAAGATGGAAAGAGTATCTAATTCTCTGGTAAATATATTCTTTATACAACGGGAAAATACTTTATTATAAGAAATTTATATTCAAATAATTATAGTTATGAATTAAATTGGCCAATTAGCTTTACATATTTTGTAGTAAAAATGTAAATGAATTTGTAGTAAAAATTAATTAATCGATAATAGTGAACGTCATTCGTATCCCTCTTAATCAATTCATATAACAGATCGAAGCAAACACGAAAATGAAATTTAAATGATTAAATACGAGAAATAAGAAGTATGTTTGTTAATTAACTAGTGTTGCATTAGTGGAATGGTTAATATAAGTGGACGGAGACCATACATGAGAAAACAAGTTTACTGTAGTAAGAACACAGCAGCAAATACCAAGAATATCCTGCTGGGGGAGCCACTTGCTGAGCAACACGTTGTCAGGGAGGTCCTCCAGCGTCCCCTCGTATTTCCAGAGGACGCGCTGTGGCAGCCTGCGGAAGGCCTGGACGAGGAGATCGCGGTACTGGAGTGGCATGTCGGTGCTTTGCGTAAAGGAGCCCAAACTGAAGTAGATGACACCAGCAGCTCCTGCCTCAGTGATCCACGACTCCAGCTCCTGGGTCAACAATTTGTGATGAACTAATCATAAGACAGATGGAGAGTGTATACTAGAAAATACATTAAATTTAACCTTTAATTTTAATTCTTACTATAACAAGTGAAATTTTCAAATAGATTAACATGTTCAAACTGTTAGCCCTGTGCATTAAAAACACAAAATTTACAGATGTAGTTTTCTGAGTGATAGAGACTGAACCTGTCCTCCTGTGATATAAGACTCTACTTTACCTGGCTGAGCTTGAGCGTCCATTAAGAAGACAAATGTTCCTGTCTGTCTAAAACTTGACTGGTTAAACAACAAGATCATGATGATAGCCATCATTATGTCTCCTCCAAAACCTTATATCATAACATTAAAAACATACTCAAAAACGTTTTTTCCTTATGTTTTATATTAGTATTTACAAATTCTAAAAAACTACTTGAAATTGCAATATAAAACGTGCTGAAAAGGAAGAGATGTCGTTTTATCATTGAGATAGCACTTGAATTCTTGGGTGGACTAAAATTACATGCAAGATTGTATGTGAAATGTATCTGGAGTTGTCTGAGAAATGATATGCTTTAAGGGATTAAAATGTTACCAAATAAAATTTTTAGCAAACTTAAAATATGCATATTTCCTGAATTATTCCTGTGTGAAACAATTTGGTGAATATTGCGTGCTTGGAAAAGATAAAATTGGTCGTAAAATATGTTGTTTTACTTTTCACTGCTGACAAATTTTGCTGTAAATGATAATAATCCATTAAAATATAAGTACTGCTTAGTTATAATGTTTGACTTGTGAATCCCATGTGGTTATATATTTTTGGAAGATTGAGACACACAGAGGGTATTTGTATTATTTGATAGGCTACACAACATTGTCAACATGGGAATTTTACAAGCTAGACTATTACATATGATGATAACAGCGTTTATCATTAATAATTACAGAAGCTAGAAAGCTCACCTGGGGTAGGGGGCTGGCGGGTCGACAGTGTATGCCGCCCACCTCCACCTGTGAGGGCAGGACAACTCACCTGGGGCAGAGGGCTGGCGGGTCGACAGTGCATGCCGCCCACCTCCACCTCTGATGGCAGGACAACTCACCTGGGGCAGAGGGCTGGCGGGTCGACAGTGCATGCCGCCCACCTCCACCTGTGAGGGCAGGACAACTCACCTGGGGCAGAGGGCTGGCGGGTCGACAGTGCATGCCGCCCACCTCCACCTCTGATGGCAGGAGGGGCAGTGGCATGCTGATGCTAAAGTGGGTGTTGATCAGCGCCAGACTCATATTCCTCTCCAGGTCCAACAGCGGCGGAAGATCCGGGAACTGCGCAGAGATCTGAGGAAAAACACCAGGCCTTCACTGCACTGCACTTTCACAAGGAGTGGAAGAGTTGATCTTTAACGTCCATCAGGTATTGCATTACTCAACAACTAGATAAAACTAAAAAAATCTTCAGAGTGAAAACACTTTTTACTTCTTTAAGATAAACCACTTTAGTTATTAATATACTAGGATGGGTGCTTGGCAGTGCCGGGAATAGTCTGTCTCTCCACTTTACCCCATTCTACTACTCTTCTTTTTTTACCTATCTCCTGTTATGACCATGGTTAGACTTTTTCATAGAAAACTATTGTTATTTGCATATAACCAAAGAGTATAGTTTCGGAGCATGAGACCAGTAGCCTACAGTGCTGCCGGAGTAAGATGAAGGTGCAACACAGATGTTACTGGCAGGTTTGAAGAGATATAAGTTGGTAAATTGATTAAGTATTAAACAGATAGTAGATTATATCAACTGTAAATTGTTTTGGTAAACGAGTGGTGGAAATAAATAAAATTGTAAAGTTAGTTACTGTTCGATACTTTGTTTGGACGTGTTCTGGAGCAGCAAACAGATTCAACTGGTAAGGCAGCTGTGCTGTGAAGTTATGGTACATTGTAGGAGTTTATTTAGTAGATAAGTTGTTATTTTTCCAGTACTGGCCATCACTCGCTATATTATATATTTTCTATATAAATGTGCAACTCCAGATGTGCTCTTAATTGCTCTTGTTATAGTAGGGGTCAACAGGAAAGGATTTTGACTGCAACTGTGGAGTTATGGGGAATACCTAACCTGTACTTCCATCAGAAGTGTGTCAGGTGTGCTTTAGCTTTAGATTGCAAAAAATTATCTCTATCAAATTAAGATATTGGTAGTCGAGAAAATGTCAATAAACACTGCCGGGGGTTATGTTATAATGGGTAGACATTGTGTAATAAATTAACATAACATCCCACTTCCTAATACCCTGTGACCAGTAGGTAGTGAGTCATCATACTTCTTTACCACGTAACATTGGGATAGCTTATCCCTGGGGGCGGGGAATAGTCCACATCAGCAGGAGGGATAGTTAGTTTATACAGTGCAAGTATACAAACAGCCACAATACACAGAGTAGTGGTTGGGCTACTAGTAGGACACCAGTCATTATTATAATTATTATTACCAACTGTTTATTTTTCCCCAGAACCTATAACATCTCCCTATATATCAGCCCCTTCCTCATTTTCCCTGTGCCGTTTCATTCTAAATGATTTGCTACCAGAAATCTTAGCCAAATATCCCCAGTTTGCTAACTGTAGGTAGTATATGAGTGATTGTAACCTTTCCACCGCTGCCCACTGGATGGGAAGGGGGGGGGGGGGCGGTGTGCAGGACAAACATATCAATTTTGACACTAGCTCTCCACATATGTCAGTTGCTTAATTTAGAACCTGTACTTGTGGTCGGTCTCGAGCCCATTGTTGATGTGACGATGTGCATTAAATTTTGTAACTAGCTCATCAAGACTGTAACTGGCTTAGCTAAATGACTTGTGGAGCTCAGTTTCTGAGTCATTATGTGCCTCTGTAACACTTTCACCTACCACCCTCAGGATAGGTATGGGGTGCATAATAAATGAACTAAATTAAACTATATACTCTCATAACCCCAATGTACCTGCTTGTATATAAATAAATAATCCTGGTTGTCATACATTCAACGTACCTCTTTCTGTATTGGTGGCACGATGGCCCAATTCCTCCAATAAATCGCAATTCCAATTTGAATCATCATGTTGTGGAAGCGGTGCCAGAAGGAGTAGGGATGTGGGTAATCCATCATGTGGTTGGGAACATAGGCTGGGCTGAGGACGTTGCCCAGGACGGCGCTCTGGCGGTAGTCCAGCGCTGGCGTAGTGACCATGACGAAGGCAGCCTCGTGCACGAACGGGTACGCCACCTGCAGCCAGAGTAAACATGAGGCTTACCCTGACCCCAAGCTTTGGCTACAACAGTATAACCCTGAATGATACTTACACAGGTAGCACTTATAATTATTTCGATGATATTTCTAATCACAGATTTACTGTTGCTGCCTTAGTTGCCTTTATGGTACAATTCCATAGGTCACATATTACGTTTATCACAGAAACGAAAATTAGTAAAAAAAATTACATGTGGATTAATTTTTTCATTTAGAATACTATAAGTTTTCTAACTCTAGTTTGAAGGCTAACAGCTAGCTCTCCTTCTCACAACTTACAGTTTGCAGGTTAAAAGCGCTCTCTCCCACAGCTTAGTGTTTGCAGACTAAGTTCCCTCCCTCCCTCAGCTCACAGTTTGCAGGCTAAGAGGTCTCTCTCCTACAGTTTATTTAAAGGCATTGCCAACCTATATATACACATATACATTATCAGCTAATCACATAATAAATTGAATCCATCCCAATATCAGAAGGTAAGAGAGATCTGCATGATCTCATATTAGGCTTAGGAAATCGATTACATTTAAATTTAAGCAAACAACTTTTTTGTTTGCTTGAATATAAGTAAGAAATTACTTATCAGATGATAATTGCACTTATCAAACAAGAATAACTATGAACACTTACCTCATTGAACTCATGATCCACCATGATGAGATCAAACTCCTTCCTTCTTTCATAAAGGTCCTTCACCACAGGAACTTTGTACAGTTCCCTGGCAATGTCTGGAAGGATGCCCTCAAACATCTGGAAGCATCCTGTCCGGTCATTAACATAATCAAACATGTTTACACTCATCTCACTGAAGTAACGGAGTCCGTGTGTGACCTCGTGGATGTTGGGATGTTTTGATGACTTCGGGTGGTTGGTCAACATCACAATCTGGAGATGAGATTTGAGGCAAAAGGTAATATAAAGTTAAAGATTTCTCATAAAAGCTGCAACTGATGTTGGACTAAATTTGCCAGCTGAAAAAAATGGAGCTGGATGCCCTCTCAGAACTGAAGAATTACAAATATTATAGTTTTTATAATTCCACAAGCAGTGCATATTTTTACCTGAATATACCTGCTGGCCACGATATTTAGTGGCCTCGACGGGGACAGGAAAAATAATCTAGTCTATTGAAAATATTATTTGTTTTAATTATATGGTTTCCATATTTTGGGCTGGAGCATATTAGGCTTATCAAATTCACCATATTCCAACAACTGATATCACCCAAGATGAAACCAACAGCAGTTGTCTAACAGAGGCATTCGGTGAAATGAAACATTTTCCAAACGCTTTTGTCATTCCGAACCCGGGACATTTTAGCTGTGACCAAACAACACTGACCATTGCACTACAGAACCCTTTGACCACTGCTGCATAGGACTAATTTCCTCTGTATAATCCCAGATCACCAAAATCATTTCGTTGATGCCCTACCTCGTGTCCACGGTCGGCCAGAGCCTCGGCGATGGGCATGAAGACGTTCCTGTGGCTCTTGGTAGAGACGGGGAGGAGCATGAGGATCTTGTAGGTTCTCTCAGGGGGCGCCAACTCCCCCGCGGCGACCCCTGCCATAGCCGCCACCAACACACACAACGGCGCCAACTTCATCTGTGTAGACCAAGTTTGATATTTACAGAGTATGAAAATAAATATTGAAAAGCATTTAACAGTCATAATTCAATGAAAAGCAAGGACACTATGAGGATAGCACTGTGCCAGTAAGCCAATATATTGCATTAAATCTTCATTACGAAGGATAGGCGCTGGGATATGAGGACGGAGGGAAGGAACGGTGCCCAATCACTTAGACCGTCGTGGATCGAATGCCGACCTGCAAGAAACGAAGTCATTGCAGGACAGTCCAGTTTGAGATGGCCCAGGCATGTCCTTCCACGGATTACACTCACTTAAAATAGTTCTGAGATCTCCTTATAAGTTATTTAAAAATGAGTAGTAAAGTGGTTTATAAAATAATGTAGGGTACCATCATGACTTATCTCAAGTCAAGATGTTCTCTCAGTCTGTGGGAACCGACCTATATTATCTAGACTACGTTTTTATATATTTGTGTCAATAAACGAATGTTAAGTGATTTCTTGTGTTTAGATAATATTCCCTTCTCATTTATTATTTTTAGTCCACGATCCCAATTTAGTATTTTGTAAGTTTTTATGTGGTTCCACCTAGCATCCTCATATAGTAAATATTTCCCCTTGATTGAGTAAGCCCTCTTAGAGTAAATTTTATTCCTCCTTTTCAGTTAATTACGGATCCCAGTTCTTGGCATCCTGAAACTAATTGACGGGTCCTTCTCACAGTCATTTAGCTTAAGTACATTTGGGTCACCAAAGAAGAAGGTGCTGGCGGCGAAAAGTCTCGTGAATAAGCTTGGGTATAATCCAAGTTTTGTGTGTACTGGTAACCGTGGCGTCAGTGTTTCCTAGTGCACGTGGCATTTGGTGGTCAATCACCAAGTTACATAACCAGCACTGGGCTCAGGTTACGGTAAGGAACAACGGTTAACATCGATACCCTTAACTGACGACCAGTTAAGGCAGAGTAAGTGACGTTAAGGTCATTTAAAATCGAGTCTGTTACCTAGAGAGCAGAGGTGACATTCTGGTTTGTTACACTGCATTCAGCCGGTACAGCTTGCAGAAAATTTCACTTCCTTTAAACATTTACAAACTTCCAATTGAAGTAAATCAAGAAACATTAGACTAGGCTGTAGATGGGGAGGGCTTCACCATCAGGCTATAACTGTCATACTGGCTTAGCACTTTCTACTGGCAATAATTTCCCCTTCCGTCCATCAGTGGATAAATACCCGTTCTTGATAGTGATAACGTTTATCAGGTGGAATTGCATAGCGAAGATAACATTTTAAAGACCAGAAACATACTACTGTGTATTCGCTTTCTCAACTGCTGAATACCCGAGGTCCAGCGCTCAGGTGGTGAGGTGTAGTGGAGGTCCAGCGCTCAGGTGGCGAGGTGTAGTGGAGGACCAACACTCAGGTGGTGAGGTGTTGTGGAGGACCAACACTCAGGTGGTGAGGTGTAGTGGAGGTCCAGCGCTCAGGTGGTGAGGTGTAGTGGAGGACCAAGCGCTCAGGTGGTGAGGTGTAGCACAGGACCAACGCTCAACTGGCAAAGTGTAGCACAGGACCAACGCAGGACACATTGCCCGCTCCACTCCCAATATAAACTGACTATCCCAGAACACATGCCCGTCAACTGGTAGCTTTTGCCTTCCTTCTTTTATGAATTATTTAATTATTAATATTATCAAGACTTATTTTCCCAATCATTAGGATTTTTGCAAATCCTAAATTAAATAAAAACAATCTATAAACCCTAAAATTAAAAATTATTACTAGATTTGAGATTGATTATTTGACTGGATCAGCGTGACTGTCCGGCTGAACATTGCAAATGAGGTGAGAAGCGGACACACGATCGTTCTGCTTCGCAATGTGGCGAAAATGAACGTGATAAATAACATGGAAAAGGAGAAGTGTAGCTTAAACGTTTTTTCTTGTACTCCCTGACATATATTAACCTAGACCGTTACCTGACATCACAGTATGTCTTTCTGTAACAAATTTCAAACAATACAAATTTAACACACCCGTGAAAACCCCTGTTATCCTTTAGCAAGCTTTGCTCTCCTTTGATCAGCTTTATTCAGATGGTGGCTTATGATCAGCTCTGGTTAGGAGGTGACCTTTGATCAGCTCTGGTTAGGAGGTGACCTTTGATCAGCTCTGGTTAGGAGGTGACCTTTGATCAGCTCTGGTTAGGAGGTGACCTTTGATCAGCTCTGGTTAGGAGGTGACCTTTGATCAGCTCTGGTCTCAAGGTAATCATGATCTAACTTGCAAAGCAGGTTTCATTTCATCAGGCTTGTCGGTGAGTGTGAGAGAGAGAAAACTTTAATGGTCCCCAAGCCACTGGGAGGGGGGGGGGAGCAGGTGCTGGTCATTGACCAGGCCTCCCCCAAGTCAGGAGGAGGTCTGGTCGATGACCGCGCCACGGGGACGCTAAGCCCCGGAAGCACCTCAAGGTAAGGCCAATGCCTTACTTACAGTGTTACAATCACTGAACATGCTATGACACGACCAGCACTGAAACCCAGGTTACCATGGCTCATCCCACTGGCGTACACTGTTGTGATACTTGTCCACCAGAGGTGAGCCCTGATTATACAGGTTTGAATCCTGGTCATGTTCTAAGTGATAGTACAGTCGGGTTCGTTCCCGGCATACTATCGAGAATTCTGGGTTCGAATCCCAAGTGGTTGGTCACGTTTCGTGTCTCCTAATGCCCTTGTTGACCTAGCTTATTACATTTTCAAAGACAAAGTTTGCACACACACAACTGTAACCTGAAAACACTAAACAGAGTTTTACTTAATGCTAACATTGTTGTTGTTGTTGTTGTTAAAGATTTGCCACCTGGAACAAAGTTCCAAGTAGCACGGGCTATGGTGAGCCCGCAGTGCTAACATTGAACAGCTTGTCGTATATACTCGCAATTGGGTGAGGCGATATGTTGCAACAGTTTTGGGTGAGGTGAACAAACTTTTGACCAACACAAGACAGAACACGGTGCAATGGGTATAAATTGGTTAAATGAGAGGGCAGAATGGAAGCAACTGTAAAGGGCCTATTGGCCCATACTTCCTCTTGATGCTTTTATATTGGTGCGGAGTCTTGAAGTGAGTAGAATATAATTGTGCATTAATTGGCTGTTGATTACTGGTGTTCACTTTTCGATGTGTAGTGCCTCGCAGATGTCAAGCCGCCTACTATCGCTGAATCTATCGATGATTTCTGTGTTGTTTGTTAACATCGAAATCATCGATAGATACTGCGATAGCAGGCGTCTTGACATCTGCTATATATTAGGCGAGCAGTAATGAGGGACATGACCGCAGTATACATGTGGAGTAATGAAGGACATGACCGCAGTATACATGTACAGTAATGAAGGACATGACCGCAGTATACATGTGGAGTAATGAGGGACATAACCGCAGTATACATGTGGAGTAATGAGGGACATGACAGCAGTATACATGTAGAGTAATGAGGGACATGACCGCAGTATACATGTACAGTAATGAAGGACATGACCGCAGTATACATGTGGAGTAATGAGGGACATAACCGCAGTATACATGTGGAGTAATGAGGGACATGACAGCAGTATACATGTAGAGTAATGAGGGACATAACCGCAGTATACATGTAGAGTAATGAGGGACATAACCGCAGTATACATGTGGAGTAATGAGGGACATGACCGCAGTATACATGTAGAGTAATGAGGGACATAACCGCAGTATACATGTGGAGTAATGAGGGACATGACCGCAGTATACATGCAGAGTAATGAGGGACATAACCGCAGTATACATGTAGAGTAATGAGGGACATAACCGCAGTATACATGTGGAGTAATGAGGGACATGACCGCAGTATAGTATACAATGAAGTAATGAAGTATAGTATACAATGAGTAATGAAGGACATGACCGCAGTATACATGTGGAGTAATGAGGGACATGATCGCAGTATACATGTGGAGTAATGAGGGACATGACAGCAGTATACATGTAGAGTAATGAGGGACATAACCGCAGTATACATGTAGAGTAATGTGAGGGACATGGCCGCAGTATACATGTAGAGTAATGAGGGACATGACCGCAGTATACATGTAGAGTAATGAGGGACATGACCGCAGTATACATGTACAGTAATGAGGGACATGACCGCAGTATACATGTACAGTAATGAAGGACATGGCTGCAGTACATAGAGTAAGGGCGTGACAAGGCACACACTGGCGGCCGCGCGGCCCAACTCCTGGACCTTGACTACTGGTCAAGGCTGTATAGATACAGTACCATGCTTAGCAACGATGAGTCGTTCACCCGAGTTGTTTACTGCTGTGTGTGGCGGCCGGCTTGTGTTGACAGCCACGGTCTCCAGTGCTTCAGTAAAGATTAAGATAATCCCGCAGATTTACTGAGCATCTGTCTTAGTAGCATTTGCTGAGAAAGCAAAATCACCTCATGTGAGTACTAATAATATTATATCATTAGATAAATGGCAAACGCTATTGATAAGGTGAAGCACTTGGCGAGATTGGTCTACAACCCAAGCTGATAGTGTGTTAAGTGCAGGGAGAGAAGTGTGTTTATATTGGTCCTCCACTGCACCTCACCACCTTAGTGTTGGACCTCTACTACACCTCACCACCTGAGTGTTGGTCCTCCACTACACCTCATCACCTGAGTGTTGGTCCTCCACTACACCTCATCACCTGAGTGTTGGTCCTCCACTACACCTCATCACCTGAGTGGTTCCACTACACCTCACCACCTGAGTGTTGGACCTCCACTACACCTCACCACCTTAGTGTTGGTCCTCCACTGCACCTCACCACCTGAGTGTTGGTCCTCCACTGCACCTCACCACCTTAGTGTTGGACCTCCACTGCACCTCACCACCTGAGTGTTGGTCCTCCACTGCACCTCACCACCTGAGTGTTGGACCTCCACTACACCTCACCACCTGAGTGTTGGACCTCCACTACACCTCACCACCTGAGTGTTGGTCCTCCACTACACCTCACCACCTGAGTGTTGGTCCTCCACTACACCTCACCACCTGAGTGTTGGTCCTCCACTACACCTCACCACCTGAGTGTTGGTCCTCCACTACACCTCACCACCTGAGTGTTGGTCCTCCACTACACCTCACTGAGTGTTGGACCTCCACTACACCTCACCACCTGAGTGTTGGACCTCCACTACACCTCACCACCTGAGTGTTGGTCCTCCACTACACCTCACCACCTGAGTGTTGGACCTCCACTACACCTCACCACCTGAGTGTTGGTCCTCCACTACACCTCACCACCTGAGTGTTGGACCTCCACTACACCTCACCACCTGAGTGTTGGAGAGTGTTGGTCCTCCACTACACCTCACCACCTGAGTGTTGGTCCTCCACTACACCTCACCACCTGAGTGTTGGACCTCCACTACACCTCACCACCTGAGTGTTGGTCCTCCACTACACCTCACCACCTGAGTGTTGGACCTCCACTACACCTCACCACCTGAGTGTTGGACCTCCACTACACCTCACCACCTGAGTGTTGGTTCCTCCACTACACCTCACCACCTTAGTGTTGGACCTCCACTACACCTCACCACCTGAGTGTTGGTCCTCCACTACACCTCACCACCTGAGTGTTGGACCTCCACTACACCTCACCACCTGAGTGTTGGACCTCCACTACACCTCACCACCTGAGTGTTGGACCTCCACTACACCTCACCACCTTAGTGTTGGACCTCCACTACACCTCACCACCTGAGTGTTGGACCTCCACTACACCTCACCACCTGAGTGTTGGTCCTCCACTACACCTCACCACCTGAGTGTTGGTCCTCCACTACACCTCACCACCTGAGTGTTGGACCTCCACTACACCTCACCACCTGAGTGTTGGTCCTCCACTACACCTCACCACCTGAGTGTTGGTCCTCCACTACACCTCACCACCTGAGTGTTGGACCTCCACTACACCTCACCACCTGAGTGTTGGACCTCCACTACACCTCACCACCTGAGTGTTGGACCTCCACTACACCTCACCACCTGAGTGTTGGACCTCCACTACACCTCACCACCTGAGTGTTGGACCTCCACTACACCTCACCACCTGAGTGTTGGACCTCCACTACACCTCACCACCTGAGTGTTGGACCTCCACATACTAAACCTCTGTTTTAATTATTTACCAGAAGAGAAGGTGAACACGCCAATGTCATCGTATTGAGGGACGACGTGCTCTTGAATATTAGAAGTAAGTGTTGACCACCTCCACCGTCTCAGTGTTGTGTTGACCACCTCTACCTTCTCAGTGTTGTGCTGACCACCTCTACCGTCTCAGTGTTGTGCTGACCACCTCTACCGTCTCAGTGTTGTGCTGACCACCTCTACCGTCTCAGTGTTGTGTTGACCACCTCTACCGTCTCAGTGTTGTGTTGACCACCTCTACCTTCTCAGTGTTGTGCTGACCACCTCTACCGTCTCAGTGTTGTGCTGACCACCTCTACCGTCTCAGTGTTGTGTTGACCACCTCTACCGTCTCAGTGTTGTGTTGACCACCTCCACCGTCTCAGTGTTGTGCTGACCACCTCTACCGTCTCAGTGTTGTGCTGACCACCTCTACCGTCTCAGTGTTGTGCTGACCACCTCTACCGTCTCAGTGTTGTGCTGACCACCTCTACCGTCTCAGTGTTGTGCTGACCACCTCTACCGTCTCAGTGTTGTGCTGACCACCTCTACCGTCTCAGTGTTGTGCTGACCACCACTTCTGTCTCAGTGTTGTGCTGACCACCACTTCTGTCTCAGTGTTGTGCTGACCACCACTTCTGTCTCAGTGTTGTGCTGACCACCACTACCGTCTCAGTGTTGTGTTGACCACCTCTACCGCCTCAGTACCTCATACTGAATACCTGAAAATGTTGTCACCCATCTTGCCTTTAGTCTAGTTGATATGTTCTCTGGTCTTTCCAATATGAGAGGAAGCTGTTATAACACGTGTCAGGTCCAGTGTTCAGAAGTATGTGGGGTATACAGTCATACTGGCTTAGCTGCCTGTTGGTATTTACCTCAACTCTGTGTACATCTCTTGCCAATTGCTGATTCAGTTATTAAATTCCAGTAGTAATTATATCATATTTGAATATAAATAAAATTATTTTCCTTTATCATCCGTATCCGACGATTATTTCAAATGCTGCAGCCCATCCTTAGGCCAGGCTCGTTCAAGCTGCGGCCGTCCTCCACGACGCAATCATAAATTTTTAACGTATTGTGTATTAAAAATAGCTTTCTTCTTATTTATATATTAATATTATTATATTTGAAAGTGCTTTGTATAGTTAGACGTAGGTTAGGTTAGGTTACGTGTTTAAGTCCTGTTGGCAATTTTTATTTTTTTTTAAGTACGTTGTTGAAGCATTTCCATCATTACGATTTTAACAATTAAAATTGTAATGTTGGAAATTATTCTCTCTGCTCTCTCTCTCTTTCTCTCTCCTTTTAATAGAACGCGAAATCGCCTCATACTAAAGGTAATTAAGCCAGGTCTTTAATGTTCCATGTACTGTATAGTGTTTTCTCTGATATAGCTTGTCATATATAGGATTCTGGCTTCACAGCTAGCGCACTTTTGACAGGTCAAGACGAGGATGCAAGATTATGTGCACCAGTTACTGGGTGATAGAAGCTACCTCAAAGAGGATAATTTGGTGTCTACACCCTAGTTATACCTGGTGGACTAACCTGCTGTACTATAAGATAAGGAACCTTTTCAATGTATGTAGTCTATTCCTGTAGTTTGATTGGCTGCATATATTAATTTAATAAACTCCCCCTAATGTGTAGAGGAGCGATTTGTGAGATTAAGAGATTATCGCAGAAATACAGTCCACTTATCATTATACAAATTGCTATCGAAGTATATAAATTAACGTAAATATAAATCCATATAAATTAAATAAATATAAATCTCACAGGTCGGTTCCCACATTATTTGGACCTTCAGAACCGGATTATTTGGTCATCTTCGAACCGGATGACGGATTATTTGATCCTATGAACCCACATTTGGTCATCTTAGTACCGGATGAACCAGTTATCCAGTGGATTCATTAAATATACTAGTGCAGTGTTATTTAAACAAAGGCCAGCCAGTCAAAGACGGCAGCGTAGCCTCGAGGGAGCTCAGGAGCCTCCCTCAGCCCAGTTCAGCTTCGTCAGCGGTTTCATGCACACCCACAGATATTTGGTGGCGTGTTATTTCGTGAAATGACAGCGCTAATATTGAAGCCAGCCAAATGTAGTGGCTGTGGTGTCGCGTGATTCTACGAATTTTGTGGAGTTTATTTCGCGAGGTCACTAATAATATTTAATACTTCTTGATAATATAAGAAGTTTCATAGAGGCAATTAAGAGGCTATTATCAATAATTGTGTATATTATTTCTCCAAAATAGAGAATCATTTAATATATATTGCACTAGTGATCACAGTATAATATTTACTAATTGCCAACCCACAACAGGGTAGGATATTAACCATTGACTAGTTGAACTATTATCGTTCATCCTTGTCCCATTATTACCATAGTCAGTTGTACTATATTGAATAACCTAACACCATTAATGAATGGTCCAGACCCTATTTTGGTGTAATTTTTATCAACTCGAGTTGAGTTGTGTATATATAATAATTTACTTATGATCATTACACCTTTGAGTGATTAATTAGTGTCTATTCCATCCTAGGGTGATATAGAAGAGCTAACCTAAAGGTACTTCCAGTGACACTGGTTTATCACTCAAATCATTAGTGTGTATGATTGTATATATATAATGTGTATTAATTTTAAGTGCTAACCTCTAGTAGAGGTAGGATTATTGCCTAGTGAGTTCAGAATTTACCCTAGGCTACCATTAGAGCTTGTTCAGTATTATGAGCAGCCCAAGTACAAGCCCCACAAGGCTTCACCAACTAGCCAGTATGGATAATGCAGGGAGAATGAAAAGAACCCTTGCAGGTCTTAAAGGCCACTTAACAAGACAGATCAAGAAATGTGAAGATTTGTCACAACAATCTCAAGTTGATTATGCTGACCTGGAAAGCTATTATCAAGCAGCTGCAGGTAAATTTGAGCAAATCAAATGCCAAATGGCTGTCCTTGTGGGGACAGACTACTACCATCAATTCATCGGTAGCCCTACTAAATATCAGGGCATAACCATGTTAAAGTCTGCAGGAGGTAAATTACTCTCAGGTCCAGTATCAAGCCTGAGGAGACCTATACCTGCAGATAAACAATACCAGTAGAAATCTAAATTTGTCAGCTGATTATATTTCTCCAGTAGCATTATACTAAGGAGATTACAGCTGACTATACCAACAGAGGTTGATGTTAGTATCATCATTTAAAGCTGAAGATGAGTTCATGAGGCCTCAGTGGCAAATCAGTGAACAGTAGCCTAAAACAGCTACAAGTCACTGCGACCAATGTCACTGATCCCATTGCAGTCTCAGAACCATACTTTACTTTAATGATGAGCTATTCAATCTTCTGAATCAATTAACTAAATTAAACCCCAATAAATTTGATGACTGATTTGATACATTTATTATTTAATCAAGATGTATTCCATGGGCCTCAGTGTTTATATATCAGTGACCAGTTACCTGAAGAAACTTCAAGTTATATCTAATGTCACTGATCTCACTGCAGTCCCTGAATCATACTTGACTGTAGTACTTGATCACATCCAGTCTTCTGGGTTAAATAATATGTAATAAGGCTTGAATATTAGCCTTTCAAGAGTTGACAGGGAAATGAAATCGCATTAGACTTCTAACCCTGCAACTCTAGTACGGGACATCCGTCCTGTACGAACAGACACACAAATGTGTGATTACTAACTACTAACATCAAATTAATCAAATAATTCGAAGGAGGAGTATCGGTGTTCGTCTGTTCTAATTAGGACTTCGACCCGTGAGCAGCCCCTGGGGAATTATGTCGGAAAATCCGACACCATTTAATATCATACAGACAGATAATAAGTGCTGCTGTATTACCAACAAGTTACCCATAGAAAACGTAACTTGTAGTGGAATTACCGTCTATAGAAAACGGGATATCATCACCACATACTATTATAATTCACCAGCTATTCTGCTGGGAATTATTCTTAAATACATTAGTCTTTGGACTTTACCATCATAAAAACATCTTATATAAATTAACTTAATTATCAATATTAAAGTAGAGTAAATGTGACCCTTCTATCACGTTCTGAAATCTGGACAATGTAAGCCAGGCGTCAGAGTGAGGAGGAGGGCAGCCATTGTTTATACGAGACCAGAGGCTCACACGGGAGCAAATTCGGCTCCTGTTAAATTTACTTGGACGTAGTGTTATGGAACCCAAAGGTGTACCATTGTCAACACGCTGTCTACAAATACAAGTTAAGTGTCTATCCGAAACCCGTTTATCATTCATTTATGGCCATTAATGTCAGGATATAGGGTTAGCCGGTTAGAACGCGAAATCGCCTCATACTAAAGGTAATTAAGCCAGGTCTTTAATGTTCCATGTACTGTATAGTGTTTTCTCTGATATAGCTTGTCATATATAGGATTCTGGCTTCACAGCTAGCGCACTTTTGACAGGTCAAGACGAGGATGCAAGATTATGTGCACCAGTTACTGGGTGATAGAAGCTACCTCAAAGAGGATAATTTGGTGTCTACACCCTAGTTATACCTGGTGGACTAACCTGCTGTACTATAAGATAAGGAACCTTTTCAATGTATGTAGTCTATTCCTGTAGTTTGATTGGCTGCATATATTAATTTAATAAACTCCCCCTAATGTGTAGAGGAGCGATTTGTGAGATTAAGAGATTATCGCAGAAATACAGTCCACTTATCATTATACAAATTGCTATCGAAGTATATAAATTAACGTAAATATAAATTCATATAAATTAAATAAATATAAATCTCACAGGTCGGAACCTAACTTTTTCGGCTACCTAACCTAACCTAACCTATAAAGATAGGTTAGGTTAGGTTAGGTAGGGTTGGTTAGGTTCGGTCAAATATCTACGTTAATTTTAACTCCAATAAAAAAATATTGACCTCATACATAATGAAATGGGTAGCTTTATCATTTCACAAGAAAAAAATTAGAGAAAATATATTAATTCAGGAAAACTTGGCTTATTAGGCAAATCGGGCCTTGCATAGTAGGCTGAGAAGTGCGTTCTGGCTACTAGGTACGACATATATATATATATATATATATATATATATATATATATATATATATATATATATATATATATATATATGTCGTACCTAGTAGCCAGAACTCACTTCTCAGCCTACTATTCAAGGCCAGATTTGCCTAGTAAGCCAAGTTTTCCTGAATTAATATATTTACTATAATTTTTTCTTATGAAATGATAAAGCAACCCTTTTCTCTATGTATGAGGTCAATTTTATTTTATTGGAGTTAAAATTAACGTAGATATATGACCGAACCTAACCAACCCTACCTAACCTAACCTAACCTATATGTATAGGTAAGGTTAGGTTAGGTAGCCAAAAAAAGCTAGGTTAGGTTAGGTTAGGTAGGTTAGGTAGACGAAAAAGCATTAATTCATGAAAACTTGGCTTATTAGGCAAATCGGGCCTTGAATAGTAGGCTGAGAAGTGCGTTCTGGCTATTAGGTACGACATATATATATATATATATATATATATATATATATATATATATATATATCGCCTCAGTGTGGCGATACAGAGGGGAAATGCGCACTGCATCCAGGGTTCCTGCCCGCCATCTGAGGAGCTGGAGGAACTCGACAACCTATGACAATCATCTTTGTAACCCATATGTAACTCCTTTTTTGTAACAAAGTTGAAATAAAGTAAATATATATGTGTACATACAAAAGAATGGGGGTGGTAGGAGAAGATAATATTAGTGTTCAGTGAGAAACTACAAGGTCTCCTCTGAATACTTTTTATTTTCTTCTCCGAGGCTATGGGTCCCCACATTGGCACCAGAGGTGGTACCCTCACAAACTTTTATATATATATATATATATATATATATATATATATATATATATATATATATATATATATATATATATATATATATATATATAAATAATAATAATAATAATAACTGAAAACTCCACAACCTAGAAGTGACTCGAACCCATACTGCCAGGAACACTATGCAACTGGTGTACAGGAGCCCTTAACCACTCGACCATCAGTGACGGGGCAAAAAGAGGTGATAGCCGAGGCTATTTGAACCACCTCCCCGACGACACTTTGATGGTAATCTTGGGCATGGTTGTTTTCTCAATGGGAGCCATCCCAGCTGAATTGCTTGTGAACTTCAGAAGATGGTGGTTGGAGTGCTGGTCCTGCAAGAGACACCTATTTGATGGTGCAGTCTGTAAAGCTGGGACCATGTACCCCTGCCTGTTGACCTAGGTAATCGGGTAGGATTTCCTTCACTAGGTTGACGATGCCACTGAAGAGGACAGGAACGCTGGTACAGCAATTTGTGTTGGTGTACCAACGCCGAGGCCCCCAAGTCTGACAGGAAGGGAAGCTTGCTTCCACTGTAAGTCGCTGAGAGAAAGGTTGAGAGCTTTTTCTTTTTGAGGGATAGAATTTTTTTTTCGAGTACTCAAAAACATTTGTCAAATTCCTCTTCGTTTTCCTTAATATGTTCTTTTTAAATTCACATTCAGTGCCATTTTTGTTTTCTCGTAAGATGAAGTTGGCGCCGCTGTGTATGTTGGTGGCGGCTGTGGCGGGGGGCGCCGTCGGGAAATTGCCCCCTCCTGAGAGACCCTACAAGATCCTTATGCTCCTTGCTGTCTCTGCCCCGAGCCACAGGAACGTCTTCATGCCTCTAGCTGAGGCTCTGGCCGACCGTGGACACGAGGTAAGACCATTAAATATTTTTAACATTCCGTTGACAATACTTTGTTGAAACTATTGTAAGGAGATAGGCTTTGTGTATAATAAGAATGACATGAGAACTGTAGGTCTTATGAAGGAAGACTTTAGGATATTTATTTTGTATCTTTTTGCTTACACTATACTAGCATAGTTTAGAATACTTAACTAAAGCATTTTATGGTTTAGTATACTATACTAAACAATAGTTTAGTATAGTATACCAAAGTATTTCGCTAGTATATACACTTTATCATATCAGCTGCATGAAAGAGAGAGAGTAGATAGCAATAACCAACTTTCATCGACCTTACTTTTACATCTGGCTCTCTTTATAACTCACTTTATTATCCAGCTATCTCTAGACTTTACCGCATCATATGATTCTTTCGAGATTTTACCATAACATCCGGCCCTCTCCATATAGCAATTTAACATCTAGTTCCATTTAGAAATAACTTTGACATCTGGCTCTCTCCTGACCTCATATAAACATTTGGTTCAATTTAGAAATAACTTTGCTGGCTCTCTCCAGACCGCATATTAATATCCGGCTGTCTTTAGAACTCATCATATGGCTCTCTTTTGACCTCACTTTAACATCCGGCTCTCTTCCGGCCTTACTTTAACATCTGGCTCTCTTCAAACCTTAAATTATTATCTGTCTCTCTTCAGACTTTAATTTACCATATTGCTCTCTTTTGACCATACTTTAACTTTCTCCAGACTTTAATTTAGCATCTGACTCTCTCCAGATGCTCCTTTATCATTCCACTGTCTTTTGACCTTACTCTAAGAAGTGTCTCTCTCCGAACCTTACTTTATCATCCGGCTCTCTTCAGATCTTATTGTAGCGTCTGGCTCTATCCAGACTCTACTGTAACATCCGACTCTCACTAGATCTCATGTTAATATCTGGTTTCTTTAGGAAATATCTTTCACATTTGCACTCTTCAGAACTCCTTTGAACATCCAGATTTCTCCAGATTGTGATGTTAACCAACCTAACCAAAGTATCGAAGCATCCCAACATAAAGGAGGTTAACCACTACGCAACACCCTTCAATGATGAGGATACAAACATGTTCGAATGCTTGAAGGACCCGACAGGCTCCTTCCTCGTACTAGAGCGCATTATTGTGCCTGTTGCCAGGAACTTTTACAAGGATCCCACGGTGAAGGAGCTCTATGAGCGGAGGAAGGAGTTTGATCTCTTCATTGTGGACCATGCATTCAATGAGGTAAGTTTCTCATTAGTCTTCTGCAAAAGGAAGTGAGTTATACTCGTGTGTCACAATAAGTTGTCTGAAACAAATAATCTATGTAGGGAAAAGTGCGACGTAGAACGACTTCCCCGTCGGTCTTGCAACCTTACAATGTTGCTGCACAGGTATGCAGGCTACAATTGCAACACTGCAAAGTTTCTTTGCAATATAGCACAGAAACGTGTTGCAGCATGCATTGTGGTTAGGCAATATTGCATGTAAGAAGGGAACCAAGCATAGGTAGACAGGCATGTGAGGGTGGAGTGTGTCTGTGTCGTGAATGAATGTTTAGGAAAATTTTATAGTGTCTTGAACAGTAAGGAGGAGGCGTAGGAGAACACTTCGTTCTGTGAACTGTACATTGTTCCTTGATCAGTAGTGTTGTGTTGGTGAAATAATGTTGAAATTATGGTTTTGCACAGCTCAGAGTTGCATTATATATATCCAAATGTAATGCTTTATGTATGGAAGTTTGGTAAAGTAACCCCAAGCGTCTGGTCTCCAACCCTAAACAGACAGATAAACATATCTTACCTTATCCTGTAAATTATTCTCCTTATCTGGCTTAGTTTTTATAAATATGCAAGCACTGCTTTCTCTCTATGTATGGCTACGTAAATACTACTGAATAGGATACTATGTTGTCATATTTTATCCAAAATCCTGTACCTTTCCTTATGTATTTGAGTTCCATTGCTTCAAGATGAATCTACAGAAATGTAATTTTTAAATAACTGGTATTTTTGTCTTTCATTGAGCCTGGTCTCTTGAATATTATGATATTAATGTGTCTTGAGGATTACTCGTGATCTGCCAATGTTCACACTTTATTTAAACTTATATCATTATATCTAACGCTTGATATTAGTTTGAAAAATCATAGTTAACTCTCCCTGCAGATGGTGTACCCGTTTGTCCACGAGGCTCCATTCATCATGCTCACTACACCTGGGCTGGATTTTCGTCAGAGCGCCGTCCTTGGTAACGTCCTCCATCCGGCCTACACCCCCAACATCATCCTGGATTTCCCACGCCCCTACTCTATCTGGCACCGCTTTTTAAATACGATATTTCATATAGGAATTGCGTTTTACTGGCGAAATTGGGTCATCGTGCCTCAGGTGCAGAAGGAGGTATGTTGGATGGAAACAAATAGTTTACCATTTTACGATCTGATGATGATGTGATATTGAAGTGTGATACATCTGGAAGCCTGCTAGGGTTTTACAACGGAATGGAAGTATTATTTAATGGGGTTAGGATGGGCCCGATCCCCAGGGAAGGAGTTAACAACAATATATAAATATGGTCTGCAGTGAAGAACAGATCACGTAACCCGAATCAAGAGGAGTGATGGTAACTCCTGGTAAATATTTTACCTAATTAATTATAACCCTAAAACCCTCAAGTACAACAGAATATTTTTTACAACAGAAGGGACCATTAAACTTAATCTAAATAAGTATAATTATATCAGATATGTGTTCACTGGTCAGTACCTGGATCTAGTTACATGGAACTCCAGGTTATGACCAGGGTAACCAGGGTAACCAGGGTATACCCACAAAGTTTTACTTTTTTATATATACAAGACTTGTAAAATTCTTGCACAGCCACTAGGACGCGTAGCGTTTCGGGCAAGTCCTTAATCCTTGGGGGGGGGGGGGGGACACGACCCACCCAAATCGTTTAACAACCAGGCATCCATTTTACTGTTGGGTTAAACAGAGGCTACAGTTAAGGATTTGCGCCCAATAAATCCTCCCCGGCCAGTATTCGAACCCAGGACAAAACGCTCATGAAACTCCAGGCGAGCGTCTTAACCACTACACCACGGAGCCTGTGGTGTAGTGGTGTTACTTAGAATAGAAGGGTGACACGTGGTAGTGGTACTTAACTAAGTTATAAAAGTTAAGAAATTGAGGAGCTGGGGACGCCCAGCTAGGCCCAAGGTCGCGAACGCAAGAAGCCGAAATCAGGTGATCATACAGTAACCATTTATTTACTCTCTAATACAATATTTAATTGCCACCATTCAATTCTAAGTATAAATATAACAACCTAGTTTTACAATTCACTACAACAAGTATCATCACAGTGTAGCTAAAAAGTTAGGAGCATCAAAATACTCTTACCTAGCAAGGACGTAATCGCCCACCATTTACAACTTGAGTAACCAATCCCATGTATAAAGCTACAGACAATTAGCAATCCTGCTGTACATCCATCAATATATGTTTATCAAGCCTATCTAAAAACTCAATAATTTAAATTACAATTCTCCATCATATAATCTCCCTACATTCAGGGCCTATGACAGTAAAATACATACATAAGTAAAGAGCCCCTACATCATCTATATGTAAACCAGTGCCATATGATCCTGGGTCCATGTGTACAGGCAACCCTGGACCGAGGGTCGTAACAAAGTGTAACACAGGAATAATAGTTGAGTGCATAATATCACCTATTAAAATCTGAAGCCGACTTTACTTATAATCTAACATTGAACTTGAACATTTTATTGCCAAGTGTTGAAGAAAGTTTTTATTAGAAAATCTCTACTCCTAAAGAGAGAGCTTGACCAGCGTGCAGTAAAGGACTTATGATATTCCTCAGATCTCTGCGCAGTTCCCGGATCTTCCGCCGCTGTTGGACCTGGAGAGGAACATGAGTCTGGCGCTGATGAACACCCACTTTAGTATTGGTATACCACTGCCCCTCCTGCCTTCACAGGTGGAGGTGGGCGGCATGCACTGTCGACCCGCCAGCCCTCTGCCCCAGGTGAGTTGTCCTGCCCTCACAGGTGGAGGTGGACGGCATGCACTGTCGACCCGCCAGCCCTCTGCCCCAGGTGAGTTGTCCTGCCCTCACAGGTGGAGGTGGACGGCATGCACTGTTAGTTTCCTTCTTTCCTGAACTCTGCAGTCCAGTTATCCTGTCCCCTTTACCCAGGTCAAGTGCACACCACCCTTGTGCAGGCCTGTTTTTCTGTCTCCTAATGTCTGTCAAGTGGTACTTTAAAATAGAGAAAATCATTGCCGAGTTTATTTATGGTCAGGATTTAAATATATTACAACATAAAACAGTCGAGCTGTTTGAAATTTAGTAGGTAACAAATTGCTGCCTCACAGGAGCTGGAGTCGTGGATCTCTGGTGCGGGAGCTGCCGGCGTCATCTACTTCAGTCTGGGCTCCGTCGCACAAAGTATCCATATACCAGTCGAGCACCAAAACGTCCTCATTGAGGCCTTCCGCAGGCTGCCGCAGCGCGTCCTCTGGAAATACGAGGGGGAGCTGGAGGACCTCCCTGACAACGTGATGACCAGCAAGTGGCTCCCCCAGCAGGATATTCTTGGTGAGTATCATCCGTTGTGCCAACTTCGATATTATTTTTTTTTTTGGCATGGGTGTTCTTCTGTAGGCTGTAAGCTTCTGGCTGGCTCACTAATTGTTACTCGTTTCTCGTTTCAGTCTTACTTAGGCGGTGTATCAATATTTATGATCCGTATATTCACGTCAGTAAGATTATGTCCAATGTGTTACAACTACTTCTGCTCTGTTAAATCTCAGTTGAAATTTTGTTTGGTTTGTAAAAATCATTGTGCTATAATAGCACTGTTCCCAGGAAACATTACTTTGTAATGCAAGTAAATTTTTAATTATTTTTTCAGTAAATTCTTGCTGCATGCTAATAGGCGTCAACTAGTATTTCCATATAATGCCCTTATGTTTCATTTTGTTTCCTATCTAAACAAGAAAATCCACGTAAGACCTTGTAATACATAAATATCTGAGCTCTCAGCTTATATATACAAGCTGAGAGCTTGTATACTTAAAAAAAAGTTACGGCAATGAAGGAAGTTTTTGTAGCTCTCTGTCTCTAATTCTCTTCATACCTTAGGTCACGACAACGTGAAGGTGTTCATCACGCACTGCGGCCTCCTCAGCCTGCAGGAGGCCATCTACCACGCCATGCCCATCCTCGCCCTCCCCATCTTCGCAGAACAGCCCAAGAACGCCATGTTTGTGAAGCATTCTGAACTGGGACACTACCTGCAGTGGGAGGAGCTCACTGTGGACTTGGTCGTCGATGCTCTCACCGATATTATTAATAATACCAAGTTAGTCATTGTTTGTTCCATAATTTCCTTTAAGCAAATATAATGTTAGAAGATTCAGTAACGTTTACTGAGACTGGCAAAAATATCTTAAGTACTATAATAACAAGGCTATTGCCGACTAATAAATGCAATATAATAACTCCAAATATGTTTTCAGTCAAATTTATAAGAAAATGTTATGAAAACACTAATACAATCTAATGTATATCTATTGAAAAGAATGTCTGTTTGTGTGTTTGAGGCTGGAAGCCAGACGCTCTGCGCTAGTCTCAGCAAACTTAGCAAGGTGACTACTTGTTGTTTGGGAATAGTTGTTGGGGGGTCGCAGTCGACCCACATTCTCCCTCCCACTTAGAATGCAATTAAAATATATATCAATTTGCAATTTCGATAAATAGCAGAGTCCATCCTTATAAAATGTTTACCATACACATTATTTTCCCCAAGATGATTAATTGTCAGTATGTCTTATGAAGTTTATGGATTGATGAAGACAGTGTTAAGTGAAGACAGTCACAGAGATCAAGGGAAAGAAATGAAGATTAGGAGATGGTGATGAAGAGTAGGGAAGGTGGTGAAGAAGAGGAAAGATGGTGAAGGAGAAGGAAGGTGATGAAGGATATTGTTGTATAGATTATTGGAAAATAATAATTCACTCTGTAAAATATAGATCCCTGCGACCAAACTTTGAGTAGTTATTATGATCATAGTTTTCTTTTGTAGTGTGGATGGTTACAGTGATGAATGTCACCACGTGCACTGTTCATGGTTACAGTGAGGAAAGTCGGCTGTACTGTTCATGGTTACAGTGATGAAGGTCGCGTGTAGTGTTGATGTTTCAGTGACGAAGGTCTTTTATAGTGAGGAAGATTACAGAGATGAAGGTCGTGTGTAGTATTACAGACTTTCTTAGCCAGTTATTCGGGCTTTTATCGTTTAGTTTTTATAGGCCGTGCTGTGGCTGAGTTTCAAGGAACAATTTTCTTATATTATATTTATATATATATATATATATATATATATATATATATATATATATATATATATATATATATATATATATATATATATATATATAGAAAATATATATATAGAAAGTCTCGTCATGTTTCCTGTCCATCTGAAAGTTGCTCTGTGACTGACAAAATGCCTCAAACCAAGTCTCTCGTCTTACATACAACTTGGATTTACACTACAAACTATGCTATGCTCCAGTTTCAGTCAGTCAACAGTATGCTTGGATCTGGAATAAATCTCATCCTAGACATGATATAGGCCATGAGGCTATCGGGGTCATAACAATGCACAATAATAATATTAATTATAATCAAACAAATTGTTTTAATCTATCTCCTTACTTCATGTGAGATAAGAGATTTTTTTTAACCTGAAGGACAGGTTAAAAAAACAAAAATATAATTAGACAGTGATAATTTCCATTCTTTGGTGGTCAGGTATAAGGAAAACATGATGAGGATGTCAGCGGGGATGAGGGACCAGCCGACGTCACCCAAGGACCGGGCGGTGTTCTGGACGGAGTACGTCATCCGCCACCGTGGGGCGCCCCAGCTGAGGTCCCCGGCGGCACAGCTCTCCTGGGTGGAGTTCCTCATGCTCGACGTCCTGCTCCTCCTCCACCTGGCTCTCTTCCTTCTCGTCTTCGTCTTACGGCGGATCTTCAGGGTTGTGGCTGCTAAAATCTTCGGTAAAGACAGCGCCAAGATAAAGAAGGAATAGGACTGCGTTGGTCGAGTCCTTTAAGTGATCTTTAATTAATACCTTGGTAATGAAGGCAACAAATATTATGAACCAGGAATTATAATTTTAGTTTGCATAGCCAGCACCTTCTGGATGACCATCGCTGCTGCCTAATGTCAATTTAAATAAAGGTAGCGGGTTGCTTGAATACTTTTAGTGTCCAAAGTATATCAGGGTCTTACGTTACGCTTGAGCAAGTTAATATTTATTCAATATGATTTTATTGATAATATTTATTTGTTAATACAATTGATTAAATTGATCTTGCTCTATCCTGGAGTAAATAAAAAGGTTGACAGCTTAGCTGTTCCAGTGACAAATTTATTATGGCTCAGGCGTCCACTGGGACAATGTACTCACCTAGTTGTACTCATTTAGTTGTGCTTGAGGGGGTTGAGGTTTAGCGCTTTGGTCCCGCCTCTCAATCGTCAATCACCTGGTATTCAGATTCTTGAGCCTACCGGGCTCTATTAAATCTACATTTGAAAGTGTGTATGGAGTCAGCCTCCACCCCTTCACTGCTTAATGCATTCCATTTGTTAATGGTGGACACGTGGGTGAAGGTGTCTCGCTGTGGTGCCACTGCTAGAGTGTCGTATCTTCTTATCAGGAGCACACTTATGCCTGTCAACAAGATATAATATAATCACAATATAATAAAATGTGGCAAATTTAAAGCAAGCAATTTATAGAAATTTATGCTGAACTCTTACTATTTTTTTAGATCGTCTATAACATATCCGGAACAACTATATAGCAATCTAATGACCACTAAGTACTAGGAGCCAGAAAATGCTACTTCCCAGGAGTCGACGGATCAGTTTATGCAGTAAGACACGATGATCACTCGCGAGGAGATGATAACTCATGATGACCAGCCGCTATGTCAGCTTGGTCTCTGGGCAAGATGGCTTCTCTCTCTTCCACAACGCATTTATTAACACTTGATTACTTAGTCTTCTAGGATATGATTATTAATAATTTTAAGATTAATATTTATTTACTGATTAGTATTTAAGCTATGTGTAATAATTATGTAATAAGAAGAATTAGTTTGAATAATTCACTTCCAAACTTCCCTGCATATGTGGCGTATATGTCACAGGGATTTATCTACACAAGATAATTAGAAGAATTACTCATTATTCTTCCATTTTAAAGTTATAATTAAAGTAATACAATGATGGAAGATGCATCTTCCTAGTGCAAATACAATTTAAATTATATGTGTAATATTATATGTGTATATGTGAGGGTGCTCCTCCTGCACCACCACACCCCAGCAGTCATCTACAGCAACTACCCACCGTTAAATTGTGAAATTAAATTATTGATTATAGAATGCTCTTTCATTCATAGCTGTCACGTAAACGCTGCGGTCTGGGCCAATTATCCCAAAGTAGTATATATGTTTCTACACATTGTGTGTGTTGTGGGGGCGATCAGCTACCAGATAATGCCGTGTCGGGTCGCTTAAACAAAACCGTTCCGAGGAAAGAAATATCGGTATGAGACGCAGTTGGATTAGATTTGATTAAAGGGCAATAATCGTTGCACCTTAAACAAATCCTTACAATTCAGGCTGGGCTGAACAGCGCAAAGCAAACCTACGTTTTTAGACAGACTGAAAACATTTTAGCTTACAATTTGAGTTGTGATATATATTGGTATAACAAAGTGCACTACTGTACTACTGTAACAGTGCAGTAGTAATGACAACAGTAGCAGTAATAACAATTGTAGTAATGACTACAGTAGTAATGATTACAGCAGCAGTATTGACCTCAATAGTAGAATTGACTACAATATTATCATCAGTATTAATAGCAACTGAAATTTAGATAAATAACAAACTAATTTTACCATGAAATTAAGTAAATTTGCACAGCCTCAGTATTTTACA